ACTACTGACGAGACTGCCTGCTCGCCCAACCGCACCGACCCTCACCGAGTCACAGTACCGATTCACGCCATCGATCGGGCTCGGATGAATAAGGAGGGTACAGCGACGGATTGCCCAATACTGATCTACGGGAAAATACAGGGAGCAGCAGTGAAGATTTTTATCGACGGAGGAGCAAGCCATAGTTTAGTTAATACCGCAGCAGCACGGAAACTGCAACTGACACTCAGCCGATGCTTACCTAGAATAGATGCACGCTTAGTTGACGGCACGCCGCTGGCCATACGGGAAAAGGTGGAAAGAGCAAAAGTTCGCTACGCGCGGAACTTCGGGTTTACACAGGAAATGCTCGCGACCACGCTGGATGGGCACGATATTTTACTGGGACGTGATTGGCTGCGACGGTATAACCCGCGAATTGACTGGACGACAGGCAGCTGCACTGTGCGAAGTAGTGGTAACTGGGTCGAACTACCACGCTGGCAGTCGCCTGAGTCTTCAACGGTCCACGTCAACGCCATCACGATGAAACGGGCAGTCGCCGCTGGAGCTGACGTGTACGCAGTAGACATCGCAGTAGCAGGAGAAGCAGAGCAGCCGAGCGATTTTCAGAAACTGCTGGCAGCGGTACCGCCCGAACTACAGGAGCTGTTGAAACGGTACCCAGGGATTTTTCCCGACGACTTACCCGAGGGACTGCCACCTCAGCGAGCGCACGATCATAGGATAGAATTAGAACCGGGGGCACAGCCAACCGTACAGCGTCAGTTCAGACTGACACAGCCCGAGCTCGACGAACTGAGGAAGCAGTTTATCCGACCGAGTTCGTCACCATTCGCCGCACCGATACTGTTCACACCGAAAAAAGACGGAGGGTTTCGCATGTGCATCGATTACCGAGCGCTCAACAGGGTTACAGTTAAATCGCGATATCCCATCCCCCGCGCCGACGAACTGATCGACCAACTGCGAACAGCACGGGTTTTTTCGAAAATCGATCTCCGGGGAGGTTACCATCAGATTCGGGTCGAACCATCGGACTGCGCCAAGACAGCTTTTAGGACTAGGTACGGGTCATTCGAGTACACCGTGATGCCCTTCGGGCTGACCAACGCACCCGAGACATTTCAGATGACCATGAACGAGGCGTTTCGACAACTTTTAGATAAATGCGTGATCGTTTACCTCGACGACATCCCCGTCTACAGTCGCGATAAACAACAGCACTTAGCGGACCTCGAAGCAGTATTTAAGATTTTAGAGGAGCATAGGTTATTGACTAAGGGTTCTAAGTGCGAGTTCTTTCGGGATAGGCTCGAATTTTTGGGGCACGTTATTTCGGAGGCTGGGGTTGCGATTGACCCACGGAAACTGGACACGGTCAGGGCCTGGCACCCCCCGACGAACATCACGGAGCTGCAGAGTTTTTTGGGGTTTGTTAATTACGTCCGTCGGTTCGTCCCCGACATGGCCCGCTTAACAGCCCCACTGACGGATTTACTGCGGAAGGGGGTCGCTTTTACGTGGGGGGAGAAAGAGCATGCTGCCTTCTCTGCCCTGAAAGCGGTTCTCTGTTCACCGCCCGTCCTGCGCATTGCCGACCCACACCGCCCATTCGAAGTAGTTACAGACGCCAGTGACATCGCCATCGGAGCCGTACTGCTACAGGATTTCGGCAACGGCCTACAGCCTATCGCATACGAGTCACGAAAACTGCATCCGCCCGAGAAGAATTACCCGATACACGACCGCGAAATGCTTGCAATCGTGCACGCGTTCAAAGTGTGGCGCTGTTACATGAGCGGCGCAGACGTGACAGTACGGACAGACCACAAATCACTACAGTACCTTCGCGCACAGCCCCACCTCAACCCACGACAGATTCGCTGGCTCGATTTCCTCGAGTCAAACTTCCACTACACAGTCACCTACAAAAAGGGAGCATCCAACATAGCTGACGCACTGACCCGCCCCACTGCCCACATACACGCAATCCTATTCACCCACGGGTATCAAACGGACCCTTTCTTCACAGGAGGAAATTCGCAGCAGTTCGCAGCAGCACGGGGAGTATATTACGTAAAAGCCGGGACTGACCGCATTTGGGTACCAGGGTACACTCTGCTACGGGAATTACTGCTACAGGAGGCACACGACGGAGTTACCTCGGGACATTTTGGGGTAGAAAAAACACGGCAGCAGCTGCAGCGATATTATTACTGGCCCGAGATGTTGACCGACGTACAGCGACACGTGGCATCGTGTCCCACTTGCCAGCTCATGAAGTCGTCACGGAAGCGGCCGGCAGGACAGTTGCAGCCGATACCGCCCCCAGAGCGTGCGTGGCAGCAGGTGACGATGGACTTCGTCACGGGGTTACCGGCCGGAGCGAGTGGGAACGACGCGATCATGGTCGTCGTCGATCGACTGACGAAAATGGCGCACTTCGCAGCCTGCAAGAAATCGATCACAGCCGAAGAAACAGCCCGCCTCTTCATCGCCACCGTCGTACGACTGCACGGGATACCAGCAGCAATCATCAGCGACCGCGACACGAAATTCACTAGCAACTTCTGGTGGAACCTCTGGCAGCAGTTTGGCACGCGACTACAGTTTAGCTCGTCGTACCACCCCGAAACTGACGGACAGACAGAACGGACCAATCAGACCATGGAGCAACTCATCCGAGCCACGTGTGATGACCCGACCACCTGGGAACAGCAACTGCCACTCATCGAATTCGCATACAACAATTCGCCCTCCGCCACAACACAACAGTCTCCATTTTACTACACTGAACTACGGACAAGACCCCACAGTACCCATGACCCCGAATCCCGACAACCCAGTCCCACGCGCACAACAGTTCGCAGAAATATTACAGGCAGCCCGGACCCGAGCAGCAGAAGCCATAAAAAAATCAAACGTCATCGCTAAGCGTAACGCTGACCGACACCGCCGCGCCGTCACTTACCAACCCGATGACTTGGTATTGCTCGACACCAACAACCTCCGCCTACCTATCACCCCAAAACTCCGCCCCCGATATTGTGGGCCATTTCGCATCAGCCACATGATCACACCCGTTACCGCCCACCTCCTCCTCCCTGCTGACTGGTACGTCAGCCCGTCATTCCATGTCAGCCTGCTTCGCCCATACGTGCCATCCACCAGCCAACTGCCTCGCAACCGCCCCGCCAGCATGACACGGCCACCAACGGAGCCAATCATCACGCCTGAAAAAATCCTAAGCCATCGAGTACGTGACCCACGGGGAGCCCGCAGAATCGAATTCCTGATCCGCTGGAAAGATCGCACACCCACGGAGGATGCTAACTGGGCCCCCCTGGACAGAATTGAGAATCACCCTGTCCTCACCGAGTACCTGCGAAGCCGTAATTTCCGAGATGTGCACGCGCTTTCGTAAGGAGGGCCTCCTTAGGGGGGGGGGGGGGGGGGGGGGGGGGGGGGGGGGGGGGGGGGTAGTGTAAGGAAAATTCCTTTTCCTTACTCCGCGTCCCTTCTCAGCGCGTACACCACTGTTCCCGCCACCAGCATCCAACAGTACACCGTTACCACTCGCGACACTCGCCTCGACACTGTTCCCGCCACTGTTCACGCCGCGACCCAACCTCACGGCTCGGTTGGTAACCCGCGCTCCGGACCTCCGCCTCGGCATTTCCCACCCTCGGCGCTAGGCCCGTCGCGCACCCCAATTTCCACACATTACCGTTACCACTGTAGTTTCGCTATATATTCTTCGCTCATGCCTTCGCTCATTGTACTCTTGCTTCGATAGTGCAATCCTCGTTCGCTCACTCCATTGCACTCGTAACACAGACGATCCTGTGATATTTGTACTTTTACCGCGTCCTAACATTTCGCAAACCCACTGCCAAACACACGGGCGAGAGTGCGTACGCGATTCAATACATCCCGGTAATAACTATGCAGCTTCAGAAGCAATACAGTACCCGTGGATCAATCGGAGGCAAGCGACGTGGGGCTGGGGAAGGCAGCTGTGGTAGGCGCCAACGTGAATGGCCGGGCAATCGCATCCACACATCTTTTGGCCTAGGGAGTGCCAGAAAGCAAAGTCAATCTCGAGAACAAGTAGGGATCGTGCAACCGTGTCAGCAGCTCAGGGATTGGTGCTTGATTTCCGCAGATGAAGTGGTGAGTCCGGTTTAAAGCGATGAAATAGGAAACCTCTCATACTGCTCACCACCGTACTAAACCGCAACAACTTAACATAATTGTACCTATCCTGACCTGCCCTGGTGTTACTTCTCTCATGCCACGATTCACCCCCGAAACGCGCTTTCATGTTTGGGTGCCAAGGAATGTAGAGAGCAGGATGCGCGCACAATCGAATGGCCCAGTAGATCTTTCTCCAGTCTCGAGCACCCACACTAGAAGCAGAGCGAGGTGGACTGTTTCGGGCGCAAGCGGAGGATCGTATGCAAGGCACTGGCAGCGCAATATTCCCCCGCTTCGCCTCCGCGAGCCGTCCGCGCAACTGCAGCTGCGCCAGCGAGCACTGCGACTCGCGACGAATGCTCGCGATAGCGCGTTGACCCACCCGTTGACCCTTGCGGGACCCGCGTATTGACCCGCGCGTTGACTCATGGCTTCCATCCGACTCCTTGAAGCGAAGCGCACTCAATTGCCCTGAGGAATACTTAAGCCCTTGTTTGTATGCAATTCGATGGCTTTAGGTATTTAAATGACGATTATAATGGCGTCCAATCGAGTTGCAGTACAGCTGTTAGCGAGGATATCCAGTTTATCGCGCCCAATCCATCCGTGCTCGAGCGCAACCGGCGCGACGCCTCTCCTCATCTTCGAGTAGCCCGCAGTCGACCCACGTCGACAGCCCACAAATAACCCGTAGCCGGCAAAGTAACCCGCAGCCGGAAAGTAACCCGTAGCCGGCAAGTAACCGCCGGCAAGCGCCAAGCAACGCCATGGTTCCGCTGCTCATCTGCCTGGTGTGCCTCATGGGCGGGTGCATGTGGTGGCTCTGCCGGCGCTGCCTGCACTCCGGCAACACCGCCAGCAAGGACTGGCCGCCCGCCACCTACGACGAGTTTAAAGACGTCCCTAGAATCTGCCGCATCCTGCTGTCGGTCTACGAGGAGGATATCAACAACCCGGTGTATAACGACCGCCTGGAGATTAAAGACGTCGTGCGGCTCACGGGGTACAAGGACACGCAGGGCAAGTGCCCGCCGTACGTGATCTACGTGGACCACGCGGCGCGCGACATCTGTCTCGCGGTGCGCGGGCTGAACATGGCGAACTTCGCCGACTATCGCGTGCTGATGGACAACCGCATGGGCAAGCAGCGCTTCGACGGCGGCTACGTGCATCACGGGCTGCTCAAGTCCGCCGCGTGGCTGCTCGACCAGGAAATGGAGACACTCAACGCGCTCGCCGCGGAAAACCCCGAGTATACGGTGACGCTGGCGGGGCATTCGCTGGGGAGCGGGATTGTGGCGATGATGACGGTGATTCTGCATAAGAACCCCGGCGAGGTGGGGTTTGATAATGCGCGCCTGCGCTGCTTCTGCATCGCGCCCGCGCGGTCCACGTCGCTCAACCTCGCGATTAAGTACGCTGACATCATCAACTCCGTCGTCTTGCAGGTGAGCTGACGTCATTGGTTCGTGGAATCTTTCTCACCACAACTCTTCGCCTGGCCTCTCCTCCCTCCCCTCCTCTCCCCCTCCTCTCTCCCCTCTTTTTTTTCCACACCGTCTCCTCTGCTCTCCTCCCCCCTCTTCCCCTCCCCTTCCCCCCGCCTCCTTCCCCGCGCACCTCGTTCCCCCTGCCCCCCTTGCAGGACGACTTCCTTCCGCGCACGTCAGCACCCATCGATAACATCCTCGCGCTCTCCTTCTGGTACGCTCCTCCACTCTCCTGGTATCCCCCACTCTTCTTCCCTCTATTTTTCTTTTTCTCCCTTCCTCACTCTCCTTGCCTCACTCTCCTTTCCCCCAACTCTCCTTCCCCCAAGTTCCTCCCTAGCACTTTTTCCCTCTCTCTTGTTTCCCCAACCATGCCATGCGCCCCCCACCTTTTCTCCCTTTTCCCCCTTCCTCCTCAGTCTGCCGTGCATGCTGTGTGTCAAGTCCTGCTTCTGAGTCTTCAGAATATCCCACCCTTGCCACGCCTCCCCACCCTCCTCAGTCTGCCGTGCATGCTGTGTGTGAAGTCCTGCTTCTGAGACTTGAGAGTTTCCCACCCATGCGACGCCTCCCCCCCACCTCCCACCCTGCGATGCGTGCTGTGTGAAGTGCTGCTTATGAGACTTCAGACCTTTCCAACCTTCCCTCCCGCGCCCCTCCTTCCCCCCAGCCTGCCGTGCATGCTGTGCGTCAAGTGCTGCTGGGACTCGTGCGGGCTGTACAAGCGCCGCCTCAAGGACCCTCGCCGCCTCTACGCACCCGGTCGCCTCTTCCACATCCTCTACACCTCCGACTTCAGGTGACGCGCTGGGTGGGACACGGGGTGTGGCACTGGGCGAGGTGGTGGGAGAAGCACCGCTTCCTCTACCCTGCACTGCCCGCTCTGCACTGCACCGCCCACTGCAGGTGGCCGCTCTGCACTGCACTGTTGCTGCCTTCAGGTGGTGCGTGGGGGCAGGGCAGGTGCAGTGGTGGTGCGTGGGGGCAGGGCAGGTGCAGTGGTGGTGTGCCGCTGCTCGTGTATCGCGTGGTCATTGTGGTATATTCCTTCCATCTGCACTGCATGCCGCTACTCCTGCTGTTACATGCGAGTGAACTGCCTGACAATCTCTCTCTCCCATACCCACTCTTGTCTTCCCCTCCCTGCTCACTCTCCTTCGCCCCGCATGTGTCCCCCACCTTGTTCCCACCATGTCAATAGAGGAGCATTTGACAAGTAACCTGCCTGCCACTCCCTCCTTCTTCCCCCCTCTCCGTTCCCCACCCTCTTTCCTTCAACCTGCGTGCGCCCTGTTCCCCCCAGCTGCAAGGAGGAGGAGCCGCAGGTGAAGACGGCCGTGCCGGTAGAAGACCGCTTCGAGAAGGTGGTGTTGTCGCGCACGGCCATCGACGACCATTCGATTGTCGTCATCGAGCGCAGATCAACGGTGGCCGTGGAATCTCTAGAGCTGCGTCGAGGAGCAGGAGGAGCAGGAGGAGGAGAAGGCCCCTCCAGAGCAGCAGCGCATGAAGCGCTCTTCGACCATGAAGGAGCGCCAGCAGCAGTATGCGCAGGCGCTTGAGCGCGCCCTCACGCTGCACGTGCCTGATGCTGCCAGTGCTGAGGAGATTCGGCAGCTGTTGGCTGCTGCTGAGGCGCGGGAGGAAGGGGGGTGTGATGGGAAGGCGCAGGGGCGCAGGGCGGATAGAATGGGCGAGAAGGGAGAGAAGGGAGAGAAGGGGGAGAAGGTGGAGGGGAAGGAGAAATCAGAAACGATTGCACCTTCGCCAACAGCAGCAGCAGCAGGGGCAGGGGCAGGGGCAGTGGCAGTTGTTTCTGCTGTGGCGATGGGAGGTGGCAAGGACGCAGAGAGGAAGAGGGATGAGGACGAGACGAGCGAGAGGAGCCCGAAGAGCGAGACGCTGTCTGAGTTTTGGCAGAAGGAACTGGAGGAGTTTCGAGAGAAAGAGAGACAGGCTCTGCTGGAGGAGGAGAGGAAAGCTGAGGAGCGCGTGAGGCAGTTCGAAGAGCAGAGCCGGGCAGACAAGGCAGACAAGGCGGAGAAGGCGGAGAAGCGCCGAGCAGAGCAGGCGGGAGGGGAGGAGGAGGACGAAGAAAAGGGTGAGGAGGCGGAGAGTCTATCTGACTACTGGAGCAAGGAGCTGGCGGCGCTGCGGCGGCGGGAGGAGCTAGCGATGGCGGAGAGGGAGGCCCAGGCGGCTGAACGCATCCGCGCGTTTGAGGAGAGGAGGAGGGCGGAAAGGGCGAGACGGGGCGATGAGGAGGAGGCTGCCGAGCGGCTTTCGGAGTTTTGGGGGCGGGAGATGGATGGGGAGAAGGGGGAGGGGGAGTGGGCGGAGAGGGAGGTGGAGGGGGAGGGGGATGTGGGTGTGGGTGGGAAAGAGGGTGGTGATGGTGCTGTCTCTGCTGCCACTGCACCTGCTGCTGCTGCTGCTGCTGCTGCTGCTTTTGCTGCTGCTGGTGCTCGTGCTCGTTCTCCTGCTACTGGTGCTGCTGCTGCTTCTCCTGCTGTTGGTGCTGCGACAGCAGGTGGAGGGGATGTGGTGGTGGAGGTGGGAGATGGGACTGCGGCATCTCCGGCACATGTGGCCATCCACGTGGATACAGGCCCGGACACACCACACAAAACACCAACACTACCACCACCTGGCCCTGCCTCTGCTGCTGCCACTGCTGCATCTGCGGCTGGGGGCAAGGTTGAGAAGAGCGAGGCAGAGCGGGAGGGGCAGCAGCAGAGGCAGGCACAGCTGGGGCGGGCTTTAACCACCGCTCCACAGCAGCAGCAGCGGGTGGAGCCTGCAGCAGCGCGGCAGCAGATGGCGCGTGCAGTCACTGTGGGGTCGGGGCGAGAAGAGGCAGCAGCAGCGACGCTGTCTGCAGGGGGGGGTACGGCAAGGGGGGGGCTGTCTGCAGGGGGGGGAACGGCAGGGGGCCTGTCAGTGAGGCAGAAGTGGGCACGCATCGTGGATGATCTGATTGATGCGGGGGAGGGGGAGGTGCAGGGGGGCACTCGAGACGCCGCCGAGGCTCAGCTTCGGGAGTTGGAGAGGGTCGGCAGGCAGCAGTGGCACAAGGCTCGGGCAGCGTTCCTGTCCGGGGTGGGTGGCCTGTCGAAGAAGGCCGGGATGAACATTGAGATCTGATTGGAAGTGTTGCCGTGGCACTTGGTGCTGCCATGCCGCTTGGTGCCGTCCCGGTGGATGGGAGCTGTCCCAAGTGGAGGGGTGCTGCCCGGTGGTGAATGTCCTGCTGGTGGCAGCAGCATCCCACGCTCACTCGGCCAGCCATGGCGACATTACTGAGTGCTCCCCCAAGCAGCTGGACTCTGTGTATGTATGTTGGTGGCAGCTAGGACTCTGGCCGCTGCTTCACCGCTGTGAATGCCTGTCTTTGCATGTTCCCTTGCCTGAGCGTGCTGGTGGTGCTCCCAAGAGCAAGCGACTGACGATTGATGGGATGTAAGGCGAATGAAAGGTTTCCAGGCTGAGTGGTTGACCTCTAGGCTGTAGCGTGCTTTCACAGGCAATTAGGTGGACCGTCAGAATCCCAGCCACTAACCACTGGGATAAAATGGCTTGTTTGTATAGCGGGTGAGTGCGCCCATAACCCCCCAGGCCGACGTGCCTGTAACCCTCCCCTAGGATCAATCGGGGATCTCCAGTGGACCTCTGACACCCCCCTGCACTGGGATGCCCGAGGTGCACACACCGGGATTCGAACCCGAGACCTTTGCTCTGATACCATGTCAGAATCCCAGCCACTAACCACTGGGATAAAAGGGCTTGTTTGTGTAACGGGTGAGTGCGCCCATAACCCCCCAGGCCGACGTGCCTGTAACCCTTCCCTAGGATCAATCGGGGATCTCCAGTGGACCTCTGACATGGACTAACCAGAAGTCAGGAAGTGTTCTCAACTGTTGCATATTCTTCAGTGGGGGCGGGAGGGTGTATCACATGTTGTGCTGTGTAGCAGCGGAGCAGGCCAGCATGGGTTGCATGGCATCTATCTTACGGTTGCACTGTGATTCTTTCCTGTGTCATGTCACAACCATGTGGATGTGTGGCAGGCCCCCAGAAGTCAGAAAAATTTCTCTTATTTGCATGAAAAACTCTGATTTTCCAGACTTTTTTTTAAGTGCAACTCTGAAAGTTCAGATTTTTTTATGTCCTCAACTCTGAAAGTTCAGATTTTTTTATGGCCTCAACTCTGAAAGTTCAGAGTTTTTTTTCTAGTGTACTCTGTTTGAACAGACTAGAAACGCGTATCGACTCTGATTCAATGTACCTGTTTTGGCGCCGTAACCCGGGAGTAGCGGTGGTGGCACAAGACTGTTACCCCGTCAATCACGGGTGATCAGTGACAGCACATCAGTTTCCACACCGACGCCGCCCTGCGGCGCGGTTTCCCCCTCGTAAGCACCAGCGCACACCAGCTTTGGGTGTTGATTGGTCCTTTTGGCAGCTTTTGCTAGCCACACTGGACTTCAACAGCACCCACGTTGCTGCATTTGGCAGCCACGAAACACTGCAGACAGCAGTGCACGGCAGTAGCGGCTCGTGGTTGGCGTGCATGGTAGGCTACCAGCCCACTGGAACGATGACCCGCAAAGGGGTAAAGAGCCATCATCCTCGAGCTGGGGTTTCATCCCCACCTCAGGCTTCAGCAGCCTTGTCTGCACCCAGTCCCTTTGCTTTGAAGTCTACCGCCACCACCTCCCTAGTGCCTGCTCGGCAGGCTTTCTCAGCCCCGCCATGGCGGTTCTCGACGGTACCGCCTCAGGCGATGACGATGATGCCGTCCCTCATGCTAAAACCGGTCTGGACTTTCTGCTTAGCTCACTAGCACTAGAGAAGGTTGCACGTTCTACGCCTGACACAATCCCCCTCCCGAAGGAAGCTGCACCTGCTGTTTTAAGTCCACCTGATGCTGCCGAGGCGATGGACGAAGAACCCACCGTTGGTTCTGCACCGCAACATGTCGTGAAGCCGCCCGCCACTGCTGCAGCCCGCAACGTCCGACTCAAGCAGGCGACGCTTAGTTTCGGGAAGACGTCTGCGACGGCTGTGGTCGAGAACAACTTTGCCGGCCCATCTGAAAGGCCTCGTCCACGGCTGACCATCGATATGGACCAGATCATCGCAGATTTGTATGAGGACGCACACGACAAATTCAAGTCCCAGTGGTCTGCTCGCTTTCCCTGGCTCGTGCTAATAAAAACCTCCTCTGGTCTTCCTGAATTTAAGTGCAGTGTGTGTGAAGTCCTCGCTGGCAACCGAGGCAAATGTGGGAGGCGCGGGAAAGGTGCTACAGACGTGCAAACACAATCCTTCCGTAAGCACGTCGGCACACAGAAGCACAAGCTGGCGATGTCGAAGTTAGCCGCTTTGAAGGAGAACGGGGCTCGGCAGCCGCTGATCGAGCAAGTCACGGTCGACGAGGAGAATCTTCGCGTGGAGTCCCTTCTTGACTCACTGCTGTTTGTCAGCAGGTGCGACGCGCCAATGGGACTGTGGGTGAAGCTTGTTCGGTACTTGGCGGAGAAGGGTGTGAAGGGATTTCCCAAGAAGGGCTACGACACATATTACACCACGTAAGTTATGCTAGTTGCTTTGGACATAGTATGAATTGCTGCTTTCCACGTTCGATGCGGAAACATTTTACTGACAAAAAGCTTTTACGTGCAGGTACGGGTTCGGGGAGCTAACGCAGGCGACGACAACTTGGCTTCAGACAACCCAGCTGGAGCACGTGCTGACAAGTCCCTTCGTCGGCATCTCCATCGACGAGAGCACGGATCGGTGCAGTGGGAAACACATGATACTCTACGTGACTTTCGTCCGCGACAGCAAAGTGGCGACAGAGTTCATGACCCTCATCACTGCCACACTGCCACACTGCCACACTGCCAAGGGGGACGCTGCCACACTGCTTAGCCTCCTGGTTTCGCACCTGCAGGCCGTCGGCATTGACTTGAGGCGGGTATCCGGCATCAGCACTGATGGTGCCAACGTCATGATGGGTAGCGAGGGGGGCTCGGTGACGCGCCTCCGCCTGCGCATCCCCCATTTGGTGTCTTCGCACTGCATCGCGCACAGGTATTTGCACTCTTGTATAAGTCTTCGTGCATGCCTTTATTTAGAGACTCAGTTCTAACCAACCTTTTACGCGTTTCAGGGAGGCTTTGGCGGCCAAGCATGCTGCTGAGGATATCCCGGCTTTCAATGTCATCGACAAGGTGATTCGCACCGTGGCTGAGCATCTCGGCAGGTCGGGGCCGTGGCATCAGCGGTTCATGGATCTCCAAGACGTGTTCACCTCAACGAGCCTTGAACTGCAAGGGATCCATACAGTTCGCTGGCACTCGCGGGGCGATGCTGTGCTGCGGTTTATCGCCGTGCTTCCAGCGCTGATCGTCATGCTGAAGGAGTGGGATGCTGACCTGTATGCCCTGGCGACAAGCTACAGGTTTCACTTTCTTCTTTTTTTCATTGCTGACGTGCTTGAGCAGCTGAACATCTTGAACAGGGCCTTCCAGCACAAGGAGGTGAGCATGTAAATGGTGTTTTCCTTGGACACGGTGCAGTCGTTTTATTGTTGTATATGGTCTGTCCCTAACATTTGTTTTCTTACCGTGTTTAACCCAGCTGGATTATGCAGGCGTCTATGGGCAGATAAAGCGCACCACCTCTCACATCGAGTCGCGCTATGTTGACTGCAGCGACGACTTTGGTGGCGGCGTAAGCGAGCGGCTGTCTCCTTTCCTCGCGCGTCATGGGCCTGGAGGAAACAGGGAGGTGACCGTCGCTGGTGTTGACGCCGACGGGCGACCCACGAGCTTCGAATTCCAGCTGCATGAGGACGACATGGAGGAGTTCGGGGGGTCCGCCACACATGATGGCTGCGTGGAGGTCTGCACCGCGTTCGCGGAGAAGATCGTCTATGAGCTGGAGTCCCGGCTTGGCGACCTGTAGGGAATGGCTGGGGCCAAGCTATTCACCCATGATGAGTATCCACTGGATCGAGTAGAGAGGAACGCCAGATGCCTTCAGTGGCTGTCGTCCCTGATCACCCTGTTCAAGGCAGAACAGAGCGAAGAAATCTTGCCTGGTAAGCCGTCTTCTACTGTAACTGTATCTCATTTCTTGTCGGTATGGTTTTTTGTAATGTGGTGCTACCTCGGTCAATCGTGTCGTCTTATTTCTCTGCAGTCTACCTTTCATTGTGCTACCTTTAAACCCGCGACAGGAATCAAACAAGCGACGTGCGCAGAAGGAGGTGCGCATGTTCAGCTCTGTACTTGCAGCGGCCAGCAGGAACGAGCGCAGTTTCCATGCTGGACTCACCGCCATGCTGAAGACGCCGGACTGGCGGGAGAACTACCCCAACCTGGTGCAGCTGTGGGTGGCGGTAGCCGTTCTGCCGCTGAGCACCGCGGAGTGCGAGCGTGGGTTTTCGCGGCAGAACATCATCAAGTCCTGGCAGCGAGGGGCGATGAAGGATGCACGGCTGTCCGATCTCATGTGCATGAGCCTCATGCAGTATGAGCCCAAGTGGGATGAGATTGTCACCTAGATCTGGCGCAGCTACAAGAAGCGCAAGCCCCACAGCAACGCTTCAATCGATGCAGCAAGGCAACAGAGCAGGCAAGGCACTGATCCTGCAGATCGGATGGACGTAGTCGACTTAGGAGATGACGATGCTCTTGAATTTGATAACGATGACTGAGTAGTTCTACGGTAGTTTTTAGTACAGGCTAGTAGTTTTTTGTAGTTAGCAGCAGTAATAGTAGTAGGTAGCTTCTTGTAGTTAGTACCGTCATCGCCCGGATATAAGACATATATGTCTTATCTCGTACACGGGCAAAAATGCTTGAGTTATCTTGTAAACGGGATGGTTTAGGGTGTCTTATAAGTCTTATAAATGGACAAAGAACCGTTTAGAAGATACCCCCTCGCTATACATTTGCCCCTAACTCCTACACTTTCTTAACCCGTACACACAAATAGGTGTCTTATAATGAGGCTAGCCTGTTTATAAGAGACACCCGTATAATAGACAACCCCTGTCTACTATTCAACACTGTCTTATATCCGGGCGATGACGGTAGTAGTAGTATTAGTAGTTTTTTGGTAGTAGGCTAGGATTGGTTGGATGCATACTGTCCCGTGCAATGTTACTGTTTGAAGAATGACCTACAGACAGCAAAATCACAATCGGATTGATTTCAATTGGTAACTCTGAATAATCAGAGTTTTTATTACTGACACTGAAATTTCAGACTTTTTTACTTAACAGACTCTGATAGTTCAGACAACAATCCTGTACCAAGTCTGAACCCTCAGTCAGCCCCAATAACAAATCTGAGGCCCTGATGTGTGGTGTAGCGTGGTGTGGCATGGTGTAGCGTGGTGTGGCGTGGTGTAGTGTGGTGTAGCGTGGCGTGTGGCATGACAGCAGCATGGCCCATTCACCATGCATGCAACAGATAGCAGACCAGCACTGCGCTGCACTTTGCTGTATGGAAGTGAAGTGATTAATGTGCCGGCAGGGTACTAAGAGGTTTCATATGGGATGAATGGAGGGGAAAGAGGAATGCAGCAAACCAAAGGGCAGACAGACCACGGGGGAGAGGGAGGGAGCCATGGAGGGCATGGAGGGCATGGAGGGCATGGAGGAGCCATGACACGACACAAGCGCACTCGCACAAAGCACCGTGGCGGCATGGCATTCTAGACAATGGCAAAATATCGGTTGAGAGCAGAAAAAAAAAATGTAACTTGGTGCAGCAATGACAGAAATGAGGAACCCTGTAAGAAGCGCAAGTAGTACACTATTATCGAGCAGCAAAAGCAGCTGCAATGGCCATCACATGCAACCAAACGCCGCCAAAATCCTGAAGATCGTGCAAAAGGCCGGCAGAGCTGCAAGCCGGGAGGTAGGTATATCTTGTAGGCGGGAGACAAGGAAGGTTCAGGCAGGACGGTAGAGCTTGCGGTCGCGCAGGCCATTCCAGAACTCCTTGGCTGTCATGGGTCGCTTGCTGTCCGGCTGCACCTCCAGCACCTGGCATGCAGGCACATGCGGTGGGGCGGATTAGAGGTAGATGCAATGCAACAAGGGTGGGGAAGATGGATGCATGTGACTGGGTGAACTCCTTGGCTGTCATGGGCTGCTTGCTGTCCGGCTGCACCTCCAGCACCTGGCATGCAGGCACATGCGGTGGGGCGGATTAGAGGTAGATGCAATGCAACAAGGGTGGGGAAGATGCATGTGACTGGGTGAACTCCTTGGCTGTCATGGGTCGCTTGCTGTCCGGCTGCACCTCCAGCACCTGGCATGCAGGCACATGTGGTGGGGCGGATTAGAGGTAGATGCAATGCAACAAGGGTGGGGAAGATGCATGTGACTGGGTGAACTCCTTGGCTGTCATGGGCTGCTTGCTGTCCGGCTGCACCTCCAGCACCTGGCATGCAGGCACATGCGGTGGGGCGGATTAGAGGTAGATGCAATGCAACAAGGGTGGGGAAGATGCATGTGACTGGGTGAACTCCTTGGCTGTCATGGGCTGCTTGCTGTCCGGCTGCACCTCCAGCACCTGGCATGCAGGCACATGCGGTGGGGCGGATTAGAGGTAGATGCAATGCAACAAGGGTGGGGAAGATGCATGTGACTGGGTGAACTCCTTGGCTGTCATGGGCTGCTTGCTGTCCGGCTGCACCTCCAGCACCTGGCATGCAGGCACATGCGGTGGGGCGGATTAGAGGTAGATGCAATGCAACAAGGGTGGGGAAGATGCATGTGACTGGGTGAACTCCTTGGCTGTCATGGGCTGCTTGCTGTCCGGCTGCACCTCCAGCACCTGGCATGCAGGCACATGCGGTGGGGCGGATTAGAGGTAGATGCAATGCAACAAGGGTGGGGAAGATGCATGTGACTGGATGAACTCCTTGGCTGTCATGGGCAGCTTGCTGTCCGGCTGCACCTCCAGCACCTACCCCCCACACATGCAGGCATGGCGGGATGGCAGGGGGGTAGATGCAGGTTGGTGGATCATAATGGAGGGAGATGTAAGGGGGGACAGGCAGTGGGGGGGAGATGCATACGGGACTGAATGGACTGCTGCGGTACAATGGGCCGCTTGCCCCACGTCTGGCGTGCAGGTGAGCATGGAATGCAGGAGTGGAGGGAGGGTGACCCAGGATGCCTTTGGGAACTGCCTGGGCAGCCATTTGCTGGCTGGAGCCATCATGCACTCACCTATACCACTAACGTCCGCCACGCACCTCGAGCACGGAGCCATCGTCGCAGGGGACGAGCATGGCCTGCCCCTCCAGGCGCACCTCCTCCACCTCCTCCGGTGCCACCGCGGGGTCAGGCGGGGCAGAGGAGGGGGCGGCGGGGCGGGGCCGGGTGCGCAGCAGCTTGAGGGAGACGTTGTCCACATCACCCGTCACTGGGTCCTTGGTTATGAACGAGGCTCGGGTGCCGGGCCAAGGGGCGAATGCCCGAACCTGGACGTGTGGTTTGGATAAGAGGGAGGAGTGGAGGAGTGAGCGGAGATGGAGCGGTGGCGGGCGATGGGAGGGGAGAGAGTGGGTGAGAGGGCAAGCGGCTGATGGCATGTGGTGCTGTGATGGCATGTGGTGCTGTGATGGCATGTGGTGCTGTGATGGCATGTGGTGCTGTGATGGCATGTGTTGCTGTGATGGCATGTGTTGCTGTGATGGCACTGTGAAGGCGGCACCTTGTTGTGCAGTGTGAGGGCAGGCAGAGAGAAGTCGAGGATGCCCTCCTCTGCTGCCACCTGGCATGAGAGGATGATGGGAACAAGGGAAGGGAGTAGTTTGGGGGGATTAGTGCAAGGTGCAGCGTGCAGCGAGGTGCGACGATGAGGCGAACACCAGCACCCCCGCCTGTGCTGCCACCTGCACTGCGGGAACACAGTGAGGGGATGAGTGCACGGCGGCAATGAGGGGATTAGCGCACCGTGCAGTGAGGCTGTCAGATGCTGGCGCATGCACAAGCAAGTCAAATTCGATTACTGTAGTGAAAGAAGTCAAGTCAACCACAAGCCCATGCCTCGATGTCAACCACAAGCCCATGCCTCGATGTCAACCACAAGCCCATGCCTCGATGTCAACCACAAGCCCATGCCTCGATGTCAACACCAGCCCATGCCCTGTGGTGTTCTGCTGGCCCCACCTTGGGGGCGTGAGTGGCTTGGGAATCGTCTTGAGGCGTGGCAGTGGCAGCAGCAGAGCCATCCAGCACGGAGGGCAGGTGCTGCAGTAGCAGGTGTGTGCCTGGCGGGGGGCGACAGATAGGAGAGAGGAGAGGGGGTTTGGGTGGGGGGTGGGAGAGGACGAGGAAGGAGAGAGGGATTCATGCTGTGTGCACATTTGAGCTGTTCAGTGCAGTGGTGCTGCAGTGGGCTTTAGGCTTAAAAGGGGAGAGGGACGGGGAAGTGAGGAATGTTTGGAGGACAGCACAGCACAGCACCGCACAGCACAGCACAGCACAGCACCGCACAGCACAGCACCGCACAGCACAGCACCGCACAGCACAGCACCGCACAGCACAGCACCACACAGCACAGCTGCATGAGGGTTGGGGCTGTGGTGGGTGAGATGGGGTGGGGGCTGTGGTGGGTGAGATGGGGTGGGGGTTGTGGTGGGTGAGATGGGGTGGGGGTTGTGGTGGGTGAGATGGGGTGGGGGTGAGATCGTTCAAGAGGCACCTGGATGGAAGAGGTCGTTGAGCGAGCGAGCAGTTGAGGCACCTCGCTTGAATGTCATCCGTCACCACCACCCTCTCCTCTGCAATGATGGGGCACACGGCCTGGCAGTGGTAGGTGCGGCAAGGTGCAGGCAGGCTGTGGGTTGGGCGGTAAAGGTACCTCGATGGAAGAGGTCGTTGAGCAGGGCGGGTGCTTGAATGTCTTCCGTCACAGCCACCCTCTCCTGTGCGATGATGGGCCCCGTGTCCATCTGCAGGACTGTGTATGCCACTGTCACCCCCGTCTCCCTCACTCCTTGCTGGATGCGGGGGGAGGGGAGGTGGAACACAACACATGAAAACTGCACGGCAGTGTGGTGGTGGACAGGACTAGCAATATGAGATGGATGGATGGATTGACATGGCAAGGAGAAAGAACAAGGATGCTCTGAATTGTGTTCCGAGGTTCGGCACCGTACAGCGTCCAACACCGTTCAACACCGTCCAACACTGTCCAACACTGTCCAACACTGTCCAACACTGTCCAACACTGTGCTCGGAACAGAAACTTAAAATATTGAGATACCTGCCAGGAGGGAGGGAGGTGCATTCGGAGAAAGAGAGAGGAAAACGAACTCCTAGTGCCTCCTGAAACCAACTCCTAGTGCCTCCTGAAACCTTCATCATCCCATCCTGCCTCCACTCTCCCTTGCCACTTCCCCCCTCTTCTTCCCTCCAACTGCCCCATACCCACCTCCCCGGCCCCCTACCCACCTCCTCAGCCCCATACCTACCCACCTCACCTCCACAGCCCCTGCTCACCTCCACAGCCCCTGCTCACCTCCTCAGCCCCTGCTCACCTCCTCAGCCCCTGCTCACCTCCTCAGCCCCTGCTCACCTCCTCAGCCCCTGCTCACCTCCAGAGCTCGCTGCACGGGCGATGCTCCTCTGAACTTGGGGAGCAGGCTGGGGTGAATGTTCACAGTGCCTGCTCATGAATGGGGGTGAATGTTCACAGTGCCTGCTCATGAATGGGGGTGAATGTTCACAGTGCCTGCTCATGAATGAAGGTGAATGTTCACAGTGCCTGCTCATGAATGGGGGTGAATGTTCACAGTGCCTGCTCATGAATGGGGGTGAATGTTCATAGTGCCTGCTCATGAACGGGGGTGAAGATCCACTAGGAAGCCGCACAACTCACACACAGCCTCGATTATCGCGTTACGCTCACAACACAAGAGCTTGCGTGTGAGGGATTTATGGAGGAGGGGCCAGGCGAGTGGAACAGAGTGCAAGAGGGTGCAAGAGAGCGCAAGAGGGTGCAAGAGAGCACAAGAGAAAGGGACAGATGGGTGGATGCACGTGCTTACCTTGGAGCGGGATAGAGAGGAAGGAAGACGGGAGGAAGTTTCCATATGCTGCAGTGATGCACACGTCTGGCTGCAGGTGCTTCAGCGCCTCCAGAAAGGCGGGCTGGCAGCACGTGGGCCCGTGGGGGTATGGCATGGCATGTGGCAGGAGGGCAGGCAGGCAGGAGGGCAGGCAGGCAGGAGGGCAGGCAGGCAGCACGTGGGGGATGGTATGGCGTTGGGCGAGAGGGGAGATATGCGCAAGGGGGGCAATGAAGATTGATCAGGAGGGCAGGCTGAGAGCAGCGGATGAGAGCAGCGGATGAGAGCAGCGGATGAGAGCAGCGGATGAGAGCAGCGGATGAGAGCAGCGGATGAGAGCAGCGGATGAGAGCAGCGGATGAGAGCAGCGGATGAGAGCAGCGGATGAGAGCAGCGGATGAGAGCAGCGGATGAGAGCAGCGGATGAGAGCAGCGGATGAGAGCAGCGGATGAGAGCAGCGGATGAGAGCAGCGGATGAGAGCAGCGGATGAGAGCAGCGGATGAGAGCAGCGGATGAGAGCAGCGGATGAGAGCAGCGGATGAGAGCAGCGGATGAGAGCAGCGGATGAGAGCAGCGGATGAGAGCAGCGGATGAGAGCAGCGGATGAGAGCAGCGGATGAGAGCAGCGGATGAGAGCAGCGGATGAGAGCAGCGGATGAGAGCAGCGGATGAGAGCAGCGGATGAGAGCAGCGGATGAGAGCAGCGGATGAGAGCAGCGGATGAGAGCAGCGGATGAGAGCAGCGGATGAGAGCAGCGGATGAGAGCAGCGGATGAGAGCAGCGGATGAGAGCAGCGGATGAGAGCAGCGGATGAGAGCAGCGGATGAGAGCAGCGGATGAGAGCAGCGGATGAGAGCAGCGGATGAGAGCAGCGGATGAGAGCAGCGGATGAGAGCAGCGGATGAGAGCAGCGGATGAGAGCAGCGGATGAGAGCAGCGGATGAGAGCAGCGGATGAGAGCAGCGGATGAGAGCAGCGGATGAGAGCAGCGGATGAGAGCAGCGGATGAGAGCAGCGGATGAGAGCAGCGGATGAGAGCAGCGGATGAGAGCAGCGGATGAGAGCAGCGGATGAGAGCAGCAGGGCAGCGGATGAGGACAACAAGCATTTTTGAGGCGCCTCAAAAGCAGCGCAGCAGACGAGGACAGCAAGGATGCACATCGCGAGCCGTGGCAGGCGAGAGGATGCGGTCGGCTGGCAGGCCGCGATCTGCTGCCAGCTGTCCCACAGCGGTCGGCTGCAACTGTCCTTTAGTGCGCCCCCTGCCCCGGCTGGACGGCGGCTGCGTGACCACCGCCGCCACCTGCAGGATGAGCGTGCATGGGGTGGGGGATAAGGGTGGGGGATAAGGGTGGGGGATAAGGGTGGGGGATAAGGGTGGGGGATAAGGGTGGGGGATAAGGGTGGGGGATAAGGGTGGGGGATAAGGGTGGGGGATAAGGGTGGGGGATAAGGGTGGGGGAAGGCCAGGGAAGAAGGGCGGGGAAGAAGGGAAGAAGGGTGGGGAAGAAGTGCGGGGAAGAGGTAGGTGGGTGGGGGTACGGAAAGGGGACAGAGTTGCGAACGGCGTGGGAGGCAGAAGAAGTAGGTGGTGGGAAGAGGCAGCAGCGTAGAGGGAGAAGGGGATGTGGGAGGCAGCTTGCGAGGTGATGCCATGGGGAAGGTGCAGCATGCGGGGGGTGGCAGGAAGCAGAGATGACGCATGGGGCCAACATGGGAGAAGCAAGGGGGGAGAAGCAAGAAGCAAGGGGGGAGAAGCAAGAAGCAAGGGGGGAAAGCAAGAAGCAAGGGGGGAAAGCAAGAAGCAAGGGGGGAAAGCAAGAAGCAAGGGGGGAAAGCAAGAAGCAAGGGGGGAAAGCAAGAAGCAAGGGGGGAAAGCAAGAAGCAAGGGGGGAAAGCAAGAAGCAAGGGGGGAAAGCAAGGAGCAAGGGGGGAAAGCAAGAAGCAAGGGGGGAAAGCAAGAAGCAAGGGGGGAAAGCAAGAAGCAAGGGGGGAAAGCAAGAAGCAAGGGGGGAAAGCAAGAAGCAAGGGGGGAAAGCAAGAAGCAAGGGGGGAAAGCAAGAAGCAAGGGGGGGAAAGCAAGAAGCAAGGGGGGAAAGCAAGAAGCAAGGGGGGAAAGCAAGAAGCAAGGGGGGAAAGCAAGAAGCAAGGGGGGAAAGCAAGAAGCAAGGGGGGAAAGCAAGAAGCAAGGGGGGAAAGCAAGAAGCAAGGGGGGAAAGCAAGAGCAAGGGGGGAAAGCAAGGAGCAAGGGGGGAAAGCAAGGAGCAAGGGGGGAAAGCAAGGAGCAAGGGGGGAAAGCAAGGAGCAAGGGGGGAAAGCAAGGAGCAAGGGGGGAAAGCAAGAAGCAAGGGGGGAAAGCAAGAAGCAAGGGGGGAAAGCAAGAAGCAAGGGGGGAAAGCAAGAAGCAAGGGGGGAAAGCAAGGAGCAAGGGGGGAAAGCAAGAAGCAAGGGGGGAAAGCAAGCAGCAAGGGGGGAAAGCAAGCAAGCAGCAAGGGGGGAAAGCAAGAAGCAAGGGGGGAAAGCAAGAAGCAAGGGGGGAAAGCAAGAAGCAAGGGGGGAAAGCAAGAAGCAAGGGGGGAAAGCAAGAAGCAAGGGGGGAAAGCAAGAAGCAAGGGGGGAAAGCAAGAAGCAAGGGGGGAAAGCAAGAAGCAAGGGGGGAAAGCAAGAAGCAAGGGGGGAAAGCAAGAAGCAAGGGGGGAAAGCAAGAAGCAAGGGGGGAAAGCAAGAAGCAAGGGGGGGAAAGCAAGGAGCAAGGGGGGAAAGCAAAGCAAGGGGGGAAAGCAAGAAGCAAGGGGGGAAAGCAAGAAGCAAGGGGGGAAAGCAAGAAGCAAGGGGGGAAAGCAAGAAGCAAGGGGGGAAAGCAAGAAGCAAGGGGGGAAAGCAAGAAGCAAGGGGGGAAAGCAAGAAGCAAGGGGGGAAAGCAAGAAGCAAGGGGGGAAAGCAAGAAGCAAGGGGGGAAAGCAAGAAGCAAGGGGGGAAAGCAAGAAGCAAGGGGGGAAAGCAAGAAGCAAGGGGGGAAAGCAAGAAGCAAGGGGGGAAAGCAAGAAGCAAGGGGGGAAAGCAAGAAGCAAGGGGGGGAAAGCAAGAAGCAAGGGGGGAAAGCAAGAAGCAAGGGGGGAAAGCAAGAAGCAAGGGGGGAAAGCAAGAAGCAAGGGGGGAAAGCAAGAAGCAAGGGGGGAAAGCAAGAAGCAAGGGGGGAAAGCAAGCAGCAAGGGGGGAAAGCAAGAAGCAAGGGGGGAAAGCAAGCAGCAAGGGGGGAAAGCAAGAAGCAAGGGGGGAAAGCAAGGAGCAAGGGGGGAAAGCAAGGAGCAAGGGGGGAAAGCAAGGAGCAAGGGGGGAAAGCAAGAAGCAAGGGGGGAAAGCAAGAAGCAAGGGGGGAAAGCAAGAAGCAAGGGGGGAAAGCAAGAAGCAAGGGGGGAAAGCAAGAAGCAAGGGGGGAAAGCAAGAAGCAAGGGGGGAAAGCAAGAAGCAAGGGGGGAAAGCAAGAAGCAAGGGGGGAAAGCAAGCAAGGGGGGGAAAGCAAGAAGCAAGGGGGAAAGCAAGAAGCAAGGGGGGAAAGCAAGAAGCAAGGGGGGAAAGCAAGAAGCAAGGGGGGAAAGCAAGAAGCAAGGGGGGAAAGCAAGAAGCAAGGGGGGAAAGCAAGAAGCAAGGGGGGAAAGCAAGAAGCAAGTCAGAGTGCCGTATTCACCAGTGACGGTGACGGCACACCGATGCACATGGCACACTGATGCACGTGGCACACCGATGCACGTGGCACACCGATGCACACGGCACATTGGAGCGGCCCTTTCGCTGTCGAGGATTGGTCCTTCCTGCGTGTTCGCCTGCCTGTTAGCCTGCCCATTAGCCTGCACTTTAACCTGCCCGTTAGCCTGTCTATGAGCAGGTACGGACTGACCTCAAAGAGCGAGTGCGGCTGCTGAGCCGCGTCCAGCAGTCGGCCCAACACCCCCGCCGCCACCTGCGCGCGCAGGAAAGGGAGGGGGGGCAGGACAGAAAGGGAGCGGAGGGGAAGAAGAGGAGGACAGAAAGGGAGGGGAGGGGGCGGGAAGCAGTGAGTCCAACACTCCTGCTGCCACCTGCACGAGGGGGTGGAGAAGTGGGGACGTGGGAAGGCAGGGAAGGGGGGAGGAGGGGATGACGAGAGGTGGGGAGGAGGGGAGGAGGAGAGGTGGGGAGGAGGGGAGGCAGCAAGGAGGCGAGGAGGGGCGGAGGAGAGGTGGGGAGGAGGGGAGGCAGGGAGGAGGGGAGGCAGGGAAGGGGGAAGGGGGGGAGGAGGGCGCAAAGGAGTAGAACGAAGCGGGGATTTGCTGGGGTGAAGCGGGGGAAATGAGGGGCGTGGAGGGAGGCGCGCGGTGGGATGGCGCGGAGGAGAGGCGCGCGGTCGAATGGCGCGGAGGAGAGGCGCGCGGTGGGAATGGCGCGGTGGGATGGCGCAGAGCAGAGGCGCGTGTTGGGGAGTTGGGATGCCGCTTCGGAGAGGCACGTGGTGGGATGGCGCGGCGGAGAAGAGGCGAGGAGAGGAAGGTAGGCGGTGCACAGTCGTACAGTGAGCGGTGGCGCAGTGAGGCGGGCCGCTGCAGACTTTGCCGCCCAGCCATAGCTGTCTCGGTTCTACCTCGCCCGACCCACCTCGGGCGACCCGAGAAATACAAGCTTCTTCTTGTCCCCGCTAGAGGAACCTCCGCTTTGCGCGCTACAGGAAACGTGTCGACGGTGGCGTCCAGTCGGCACCAGGAGAAGCTTGACGGGGAGCGCGAGAGGGCGATTCGACAGCCATCTGAAGCCGCTGGATACGCGCGTCAACGGCTGCATCGGGCAAAGTATAGACGGCGACATTATCGATCCTACGCAGGGAAATCTTACGGGATCTCTAGGTACTTGGATGATATCGAGTCCCAAGAATCCGAGCAATAATCTAGGGAGTGCCAACAAACAGCCAGCATGCGAGTTTCCAAAAAAGGTCCTTGGGGAAGCTTCTGGAAGAATGTGTCGCGACAGTTGACAGGCTCGTGAGGCCCGTAACACATTTCGATCGTTAGACGTAATCATTCGGTGATGCAAGCTGGTGCTACTAACGTGGAACTTTCAGGGCCGCCATGGATATGTCAATCGAACGTTCAGGTGCTCCGATAGAAAACACGCCATGAAGCAAACAGCTACACATCCAACACCACCGGGGGAAAATATGTCAATGGTAACTTACATGGGGCACTATAACGCGTACGGTAACGATTTCAACGCGTTTGGTAACTCGCTTAACGCGTTTGGTAACTCGCTTAACGCGTTTGGTAACTCGCTTAACGCGTATGGTAACTATACACTAGCAGCCCATCACGCGAATGGTAACTATATGAAACTCCCGCCGAAATGAAACGACCTAGACTAGCCATGTACTCTAAGGGGCGGCGCGGGAGTCAGTTTCAAACCTGTTCCCGCTCTTTTCATTTCAAATGTCTCTGCCTGCATCGGTCTTGATCAGGCGGTTGCTGTGTCGCTTCGATTCTTCTGACTCCTCGTCTTCGTACTCGGTAGAGTCGGCTCCTGCAGCGTACAGGAATGCCTTCTCTTTGAACTTCGTATCGTAACAGTGTGTAGTATACTAATAAATTTATTTCAGTCAAAACATCATATGAATTCAATATTTTAATACATGAACAGTAATTTTTTGTTGAGATAACGAGGATAAAAAGAAAATCTAAGGGAAAATATGTCAATGGTAACTTACATGGGGCACTATAACGCGTACGGTAACGATTTCAACGCGTTTGGTAACTCGCTTAACGCGTTTGGTAACTCGTTTAACACGTTTGGTAACTCGCTTAACGCGTATGGTAACTATACACTAGCAGCCGATCACGCGATTTGTAACTACATGAAACTCCCGCCCAAAATGACCCTGATTCTGTTTTTTCCCGTTCGCGTCAGACTAAATTGACGAATCTTGAAGCAGAAACTTCTGACACACTCTCTGAAATTCTGACAGTTTTCCGAAATTCTGACACACTTTCCGAAATCCTGACACACTTTCCAATTTTAAAGGAAATTGCAAAAAGGAAAGTATTGTGAAACAACTTTTCATACAAACAAAATTGATATTCTGGCGCTCTTTCCACAAACACCATGTCAAAGTAACTAGGCAAGAATGAATGAACTAGCAGAAGTTTGGGTACAAATATGAAACCCTAGTTGGGGTTGTACCCCATATTGGCTACCCCACTACAGCCTACAAGCATAATACAGTTTAACACACCCCCATAGGCAAAGTGGGGGAGAACAAAGGGTCACAAGACCAGTCCAGCAAAGCAAAGCAAAGCCCAGGGTGGATCACAACGTCACCACGCTCCGAGCACAAGTAAAGGCCACAAGGCCAGTTCACATGCAGTGCTAGATATAGTACAAGACAAACAACACAGTGATCAAAACCTAGCAAGCAAGTAACAAGATATATATAAAGTACAGTACAAAGAATGTCAAGCAGTGAGCAAGTGAGGAAACGTGGACACAAGGCCTAAAGAAGTACAGTGCCGCTGATGATCACTAGGCGGGAGCGCCTTGGTGAAGATATCAGCAGTGTTGGCCTTCGAGTCCACGTACACAAGCCGAAGCTGACCGCGCTGCTGAAGCTCTCGAGCAAGAAAGTAGCGAAGAGCAATGTGCTTCGTCCTGTGCTCCAGTCTGTGCTCCTGACACAAGGCAAGAGCCGCCTTGTTGTCACCGTACAGAACTGGAGGAGAACTAGGCCGCTCTCCCAAGTCAGTCAGCAGGTAGGTGAGCCAGCGTAACTCCTGTGCAGCCATGGCTGTGGCGTAGATCTCAGCCTCACAACTAGAGCCGAGAACAGAGGAAGAGCGGGTGGACCGCCACGAGACAGAACCAGAGCCAAGGCTGAAGGTGTAACCCTGTGACGACCGCTGCGTAGCCAGGTCGTCCACCCAAGAAGCGTCCGAGTGGCCAGTGAGGACAACTCTGTCGCGTCCTCCAAGCACCAGCCCCATGCCTGATGTACTGCACAAGTAGCGCAGCACCCTCTTAGCAGCCTCCCAGTGCTCTCGCCTGTGTCTCCCAGGCGCAACGTAACGAGCAAGGATGCTAAGAGGGTACGCGAGGTCAGGTCGCGTGCAAGTCATCAGGTACATGAGGCAGCCCACAAGCTCTGGGTACGGGCCACTCGGCTCTACGGACTCGTCCGGAGGTGGAGCTGAGAGCGAGTGGCTGGTAGCCAGAGGTGTGGCCTGTGGTGAGGAGAACTGGAAGCCGAAGCGCTGAAGGACCTGCTGCACCATGTGTGACTGAGTCAGGGTGATGGTGCGGCGAGCTCTGTCCCGGGTGATCTGCAAGCCAAGGTAGCTACGCAGCTCACCCAGGTCAGTGCAGGTGTGTCTCTTCTGCAGCTCCGACTTCACACGAGCGAGTGCCTCAGTGTCAGCAGTAGCAAAGACCAAGTCGTCGACGTACACGAGAATGTAGAACGGCGGCAGCGACGTGTCTGTGCGCAGAAACAGCGACGGGTCAGCAGTAGACGGCGCGAACCCAAGAGCCGCAAGTGTAGTCCTCAGTGTGTCGTGCCACTCGCGTGGTGCCTGGCGGAGACCGTAGACTGGCCGGCGGAGGCTCCACTGGGTACCAGGAGGAAACGACCCAGTAAAGCCAGGTGGGCGGCGCAGCCAGATCTCCTCGTGCAGGCTGCCTTGCAGGAACGCTGTGCTGAAGTCAAGAGAGTGAAGCTCGTAGTCACGCTGAGCAGCAACGTGCAGCAGAACCCGAAGAGTGGTCATCTTCGGGGTGGGGGAGAAGGTCTGGAAGAAGTCGACCCCCTGACGCTGACTGAAGCCTCTAGCAACGTAACGAGCCTTGAAGACAGGCGGAGAACCTGGCGGCCGCTTCACCCTGAAAATCCACATGCCATCGACGATGTTCGCCCCAGGAGGGGGAACCTCGTCGACGTAGGTGCCTGTGGACTTCCAGGATGCCATCTCTGCGTCCATGGCTGTCTGCCACTGAGAGGAGTAGGGACCCGAGATCGCCTCTGCGTAAGTGCGCGGAGTGGGGATGTCTAGTGCATCCGGGTCTCCCTCAAGGGCAAGCAACGAGGCCACGAGATGAGGTACAGCAGCCGCGAGAGAGTCAAAGTCCTCCTGCCTGTCCTCAAGGACGTCCGTGCCAAGAGCACACTCACCCCCGACGGACGGAGGACAGACAGACACAGACTCAGACCCAGCAACAAGGCGAGCAGCGTAGTCTAGACGACAGGCAGCAGCAAAGTCAACCAACTCAGCGACCAGAGCAGACGCAGCCGAGGACTCAAAGGTAGGGTCAGTGACAACAGTAGCGAGGAGACGCGTGACAGTAGGGTGCTCAGCACGATACCGGTCAGACTCAGGGTCCGGAACAGCAGGCAAAGAGGACGCAGGAGGAGACGGCAGAGGGACACGCTGAGGAGCAGTAGAGGGACGCAGAGTCATGTAGTGAGTGCCTGGGACAGGAGGAGGACGCTCACGACGGACACGACGACCAGTGCGAGCAGTACGGACAGGCGACGCAGGACGAGACTCAGGCTCACGACGCTCTGCAAGACCTCCTGTGGGACCAGTGTAAGGAGAGGGAGCAGGGAGAGGCGAGGTAGGCGGTAACTGTGACTGCGGCTGGACAGGCGGAGGACACTCGACGGAGGGAGGAGGACAAGGAGGAGGAGCCTGCCCAAGAACCTGCTGAAGGAGCGGTACGAAGTACGGTCGCGGCCGCGCAGCGTCTCCAGAAGCAGAAGAGACTCCAGCGGCCGGGTCCTCAGTACCAGCAGGAGCTCCAACGTCCGGGTCCCCAGCACCAGCAGCAGCGCCACCGCGCGGGTCCTCAGCTCCAGCAGCAGCTCCACCAGGTGGGTCCGCAGCACCAGCAGCAGCGCCACCCCCAGGGTCCGCAGCACCGCTAGGAAGAGTACCCCCAGAGGCGGCAGCTCCAACTCCGCTAGCACCGCCAGCGCCAGAGTCCCCAGCTCCAGCAGCTCCAGTCGTAGTGCTCCCAGAACAACCAGTCCCGGCAGCTCCAGTACCCCCAGGACGAGCAGCTCCAGCACCCCAAACTCCAGCCGAGCCACGAGGACGGCGGAAGCGCCGGACGTACCAGTCACGAAGCTGCTGTGGTGTGAGAGACTGCTCAGCACCCCGAACCGGAGCACCCCCAGACGCAGCAACCCGAGGCTCCGTAGGCTCAGCAGCAGCACCCCCAGGCTCAGTACCCGCAGGCTCAGCACCCCCAGACTCAGCACCCCCAGACTCCGCACACGCAGGCTCAGCACCCTCAGTCGCAGCACCCCCAGGCTCAGCACCCCCAGGCGGCAAACTCTCAGGCACAGTACCCTCAGCTCCAGCACCCGCAGTCCCAGCACTCCCAGGCCCAGCACCCGCAGGCTCAGCACCCCCAGGCTCAGCACTCCCAGCAGTACCACCTGCAGCAGCACCTGAGTCACCTGTGACCTCGACAGGCTCAGCGACGGGAGGAGGGTCTACCTGAGAGACACCTGAAGGAGCAGGACCCTGAGGGGGAAGGGGGTCTACCGGAGGGGGGCCAGGAGCAAGGAAAAGCGGCGGGGGAGGGAGGGGGGCAGTGCGGTAGGGGAAGAGACGGTAAAAAGGGACCGACTCGTCAAAGGTGACATCCTGAGAGGCGAAGACCCGGCGCGAGGTGGGGTGGTAAAACTGCCAGCCAGGCGCGTCAGGGACAAAGCCAAGGAAGACACAGGGAAGCGTGCGGGAGGAGAGCTTGTCCGCGGACGTATCGCGGACAAGGGCACGAGCACCCCACACCCGGAAGCGCGACGCATCGCCAACCTCCCCCGTCCAACGCAGTGTGGGCGAGGTCTCCGGCAAGGAGACACGGGGCCAGAGGTTGAGCTGATGCGCGGCGTACCGGACAGCAAACGGCCACAGAAAATGGGGAGCCGCCGCGTGGACCAAGGAGGTACGAGCGACCTCCATGACCAGGCCAATGCGGCGCTCAGCAACCCCATTCTGCTGTGGGGAGTCCGGAAGCGTGAAGGTCTGCTCAATGCCCTCCGCCTGACAGAAGGTCCTCAAGAGGTCGGAGGAGAACTCACCACCTCTGTCAGAGTGCAGACGCAGGACAGGAAGATCCGTCCGGAAACGGCGGCGGAGCTGGAGACGAACTGTGCGGATCCAAGGGATCAGAACAGCAGGGACCTCACCCTTGGTGCGCAAGGGGAAGACCGTGGTGTAACGCGAGTAGTCGTCGACAACCAGCAAAAAGTACCGCTCACCGCCCTGACCACGAACGCGGGCTGGGCCCCACACGTCCAGGTGGAGGGTCTGCAGAGGAGCCTCTGTCGGGGGGAACGAGGAGGAGTGAGGAGCGGCGCGCTGCCGCCCCTCGACGCAAGGAAGGCAAGGCGGCGCAGGCGAGGCAGGGAGGGGAGGGAGGGACCTGGGAAGACCAGACACAAGGTGGCGACGGTGCATGCCACGAAGGCGTGGCAAGGAGGGGTGACCCAGGCGGTGGTGCCAGAGAAGAGTCTGGTGCGACAGGGAACGACACTCACAGGCGTGGGCTACCAGACCTGACGCAGACACCTGACCGACAGCAGCGACCTGAGGAGACGCAGTGGTCAGTGTGTAGAGACTCGACCCCGGCCGACGGGTAAACGTAGCCAGGTGACGGCCGGTCCTGGAGCACGTGCAGATCGCCACACGCTGTCCTCCAGGGGTAAAGGTGTCAACCCACTGATCCTGGATGACAGCGTTGCTCACCAGGTTCGTCGAGAACGAGGGGAGGTGGAAACCCGTCAACGAGCCAGACGGAACCGCCGGACAAGGGAGCACAGTGGTGGACTGGGCAAGGACTGGGCCCCCAGAGGGGTCAGCCAAGGAGACTGGGACCGGTGCAGGAAGCGGTGTGAGCTCAGTACTGTCACGAAAGAAACAGCGGGAAGCACCTGAGTCAAGGGTGAAGGTGTGACAGGCCTCAGCCGGTGCGGTACCTGAGAGAGCAGTCTCTGTGGGTGCTGTACCTGAGAGAGCAGACTCGCAAACAGCCGGGACAGCACTGGAGGGAGCAGGTACAGGGGGCACCATACCAGAGAGAGCAGACTCACTAGTACCCAGGGCAGCAGGCTCTATACCTGGGTCAGGCGGCACACACAAGTAACAGTCTCCCTCGGCACTAACAGTCAATGCATACATGGCAGCAATAATAGCATCATAGTCAAGAGCAAAGATATCAACACCAGCCCTCATCAGCTCAGCCCAGCGAGGGCGCTCAACATCCTCGCCCATCTCCTCACGCCAAGCGTCGTCAAGGCGGAAGAAGCAGCGGTACTGAGTGTGGAACTTTCCACACGTCTGCCCCTTGCGATCACCTGTGCGAATGACATAGGAACAGCGGCCACTGCCCCCCGACGTCCCACGCTGAGCAAGCCACTCACGAAGCTGCTGGGTCGACTGGGGACGCTGCTGCTGCTGGGAGCTCTGGCCCGAGCCGGTGCCTCCACTCCGACCTCCACCGCCGCCACTACCTCCGCTCCGACCGCCACCACCGCCACCGCCACCGCCACCGCCACTACCGCCACCGCCGCCGCTGCCACCACCGCCACTGCTCCCGCCGCCGCCCCCGCCTCCGCCGCCGGCCCCACTCCCACCGGCACTCCCGCCACCGCTCCCTCCAGCACCGCCTCCCCCCCCACCTCCCCCACCCCCTCCCCCCCCAGCGCCACCCCCGCCACCCTTGCCCCCCTTGCCCTTGCCGGTGCGGCGCCTCCCACCAGGAGCAGAAGCAGCGCCAGCAGACTCAGCACCAAGGAAGTCAACAGCAGCAGCAGTAGCATAGGAGGGAGCGAGGGGAGAGGGAGAGCACCCCTCAAAGATGGGGGTGCGAGGAGCGCCGCGAGCAGCACCAACAGCCACAATGCTCTTCTCGGCTGCTAGCAGCTTCTCCTCTAGGAGGGCGACAGTGAGCTCAGTGGGACAGCGAGCAAGGAAATAGTCGCGCACTGAGCTGAGGGTGTCAGGGAGACGGGTGACTATGAAGTGGAGTGTCCAGTACAGGGGAGGGGGGTTCTTAGCGCAGAACTCGGTGGGAAGGGCGGCACGCAGGCGAGCATCACTAGTGCGAAGGTGGGTGATAAGATCGGCGACTGTAGCAAAGGTGGACAGGTCAGGGAACAGGTAAGGCAGCATGAGACGGCTAAGCTCGGCTGTGGCAGGTGAGGAGTAGCGAGCAACGACAGCGTCATATAGGGCCTTAGCGGTTTTGCAGTCGCCAAAGTGCTCTAGCTCAGCTAACGGCAGGTGACTGCGAATAGCCAGGCGAGCTGCAGCGTCACGAGTCTGCCACTGTGAACGTACACTAAGCTCGGCTGTGGCAGCAGGAGCAGCGGCAGCACCAGACGCGTAGTCATAGAGGGAGATGTGGTCCGTGCTATTGCTCATAAGATACAACTGCAGGTCGTCGAGCCAGGAAGTGAACTGCACGGGACGGCCCTCAGCATCGAAGGAAAGAACGCGAATAGAGGCCATAGCTCAGGCGTGAGGGCACAGCAGAGCAGCGGCAGCAGCAGAGGGGACGCGCTAGAGCGAAGCTAGCAGCCACAGCAGGAGCAAGCGGCGGTGCACAGTCAGGGAGCAGCAGGCGAGGCGGGCGGCGCTGCAGGCGGGAATTGTGGCGGGCGGGCTGCGAAGCGGGCAGCGGGACGGGCGGGCGACGCGGCGAGCGGGCAGCGCGGCGGGCGGCTGCGAAGCGGGCAGCGGGCGGGCGGGCGACGCTGCAAGCGGGCAGCGGGCGGGCGGGCGACGCTGCAAGCGGGCAGCGAGGCGGGAGGGCGACGTTGCGAGCGGGCAGCGGGCGGGCGGGCGACGCTGCGAGCGGGCAGCGAGCGAGCGGGCGACGCTGCGAAGCGGGCAGCGGGCGGGCGGGCGACGCTGCGAAGCAGGTAGCGGGCGGGCGGGCGGCGCTGCGAGCGGGCAGCGAAGCGGGCGGGCCGCGAAGCGGGCAGCGAGCGGGCGGGCGGGCCGCGAAGCGGGCAGCGGGGCGAGCGGGCTGCGAAGCGGGCGGGCCGCGAAGCGAGCAGCGAGCGGGCGGGCGGGCCGCGAAGCGGGCAGCGGGGCGAGCGGGCTGCGAAGCGGGCAGCGGGGCGAGCGGGCGACGCTGCGAGCAGGCAGCGCGGCGGGCGGGCGACTCTGCGAGGGGCGCGCGAGGGCGCTAGCGAGGGGCGCGCGAGGGCGCTAGCAAGGGGCGCGCGAGGGCGCTAGTGAGGGGCGCGCGAGGGCGCTAACGAGGGTGCGCGAGGGCGCTAACGAGGGGCGCGCGAGGGCGCTAACGAGGGGCGCGCGAGGGCGCTAACGAGGGCGCACGAGGGCGCTACGAGGCTAGGGCACGGGGTAGCGTGGTAACCGCATGCGAGCGGTGGTGGGCCCTTAAAAAAAAAAAAACGGTCGGTAGGTCCTAGGGACCTCCTGCTCTGAATACCATGTCAAAGTAACTAGGCAAGAATGAATGAACTAGCAGAAGTTTGGGTACAAATATGAAACCCTAGTTGGGGTTGTACCCCATATTGGCTACCCCACTACAGCCTACAAGCATAATACAGTTTAACACAAACTGTTTGTACTTAATTCTGTTGTGCAGCCAGGGCAAACAAATCTATACCCCTTCAGATGGCAAATGAATTTGAGAGCATCAACCCTAAACTCCTTGCGACAAGCCGTTTATGATTATTTCTAAAAAATGAAACATGTAATTTAAAAGAGGTGCATTTTTCCCACATGCAAAAATTTTTGCATGTGGACGCTCACGACAGGAGGAGGACGCTCACGACGGACACGACGACCAGTGCGAGCAGTACGGACAGGCGACGCAGGACGAGACTCAGGCTTACGACGCTCTGTAAGACCTCCTGTGGGACCAGTGTAAGGAGAGGGAGCAGGGAGAGGCGAGGCAGGCGGTAACTGTGACTGCGGCTGGACAGTCGGAGGACACTCTACGGAGGGAGGAGGACAAGGAGGAGGAGCCTGCCCAAGAACCTGCTGAAGGAGCGGTACGAAGTACGGCCGCGGCCGCGCAGCGTCTCCAGAAGCAGAAGAGACTCCAGCGTCCGGGTCCCCAGCACCAGCAGCAGCGCCACCGCTCGGGTCCTCAGCTCCAGCAGCAGCTCCACCAGGTGGGTCCGCAGCACCAGCAGCAGCACCACCCCCAGGGTCCGCAGCACCGCAAGGAAGAGCACCCCCAGAGTCGGCAGCTACAACTCCGCTAGCGCCGCCAGCTCCAGAGTCCCCAGCTCCAGCAGCTCCAGTCGTAGTGCTCCCAGAACAACCAGTCCCGGCAGCTCCAGTACCCCCAGCTCCAGCCGAGCCACTAGGACGGCGAAAGCGCCGGACGTACCAGTCACGAAGCTGCTGTGGTGTGAGAGACTGCTCAGCACCCCGAACCGGAGCACCCCCAGACGCAGCAACCCGAGGCTCCGTAGGCTCAGTAGCAGCACCCCCAGGCTCAGTACCCGCAGGCGCAGCACCCCCAGACTCAGCACCCCCAGACTCCGCACACGCCGGCTCAGCACCCCCAGTCGCAGCACCCCCAGGCTCAGCACCCCCAGGCGCCGAACTCTCAGGCACAGTACCCTCAGCTCCAGCACCCGTAGTCCCAGCACCCCCAGGCCCAGCACCCGCAGGCTCAGCACTCCCAGCAGCACCACCTGCAGCAGCACCTGAGTCACCTGTGACCTCGACAGGCTCAGCGACGGGAGGAGGGTCTACCTGAGAGACACCTGAAGGAGCAGGACCCTGAGGGGGAAGGGGGTCTACCGGAGGGGGACCAGGAGCAAGGAAAAGCGGCGGGGGAGGGAGGGGGGCAGTACGGTAGGGGAAGAGACGGTAAAAAGGGACCGACTCGTCAAAGGTGACGTCCTGAGAGGCGAAGACCCGGCGCGAGGTGGGGTGGTAAAACTGCCAGCCCGGCGCGTCAGGGACAAAGCCAAGGAAGACACAGGGAAGCGTGCGGGAGGAGAGCTTGTCCGCGGACGTATCGCGGACAAGGGCACGAGCACCCCACACCCGGAAGCGCGACGCATCGCCAACCTCCCCCGTCCAACGCAGTGTGGGCGAGGTCTCCGGCAAGGAGACACGGGGCCAGAGGTTGAGCTGATGCGCGGCGTACCGGACAGCAAACGGCCACAGAAAATGGGGAGCCGCCGCGTGGACCAAGGAGGTACGAGCGACCTCCATGACCAGGCCAATGCGGCGCTCAGCAACCCCATTCTGCTGTGGGGAGTCCGGAAGCGTGAAGGTCTGCTCGATGCCCTCCGCCTGACAGAAGGTCCTCAAGAGGTCAGAGGAAAACTCACCACCTCTGTCAGAGTGCAGACGCAGGACAGGAAGATCCGTCCGGAAACGGCGGCGGAGCTGGAGACGAACTGTGCGGATCCAAGGGATCAGAACAGCAGGGACCTCACCCTTGGTGCGCAAGGGGAAGACCGTGGTGTAACGCGAGTAGTCGTCGACAACCAGCAAAAAGTACCGCTCACCGCCCTGGCCACGAACGCGGGCTGGGCCCCACACGTCCAGGTGGAGGGTCTGCAGAGGAGCCCCTATCGGGGGGAACGAGGAGGAGTGAGGAGCGGCGCGCTGCCGCCCCTCGACGCAAGGAAGGCAAGGCGGCGCAGGCGAGGAAGGGAGAGGAGGGAGGGACCTGGGAAGACCAGACACAAGGCGGCGACGGTGCATGCCACGGAGGCGTGGCAAGGAGGGGTGACCCAGGCGGTGGTGCCAGAGAAGAGTCTGGTGCGACAGGGAACGACACTCACAGGCGTGGGCCACCAGACCTGACGCGGACACCTGACCGACAGCAGCGACCTGAGGAGACGCAGTGGTCAGTGTGTAGAGACTCGACCCCGGCCGACGAGTAAACGTAGCCAGGTGACGGCCGGTCCTGGAGCACGTGCAGATCGCCACACGCTGTCCTCCAGGGGTAAAGGTGTCAACCCACTGATCCTGGATGACAGCGTTGCTCACCAGGTTCGTCGAGAACGAGGGGAGGTGGAAACCCGTCAACGAGCCAGACGGAACCGCCGGACAAGGGAGCACAATGGTGGACTGGGCAAGGACTGGGCCCCCAGAGGGGTCAGCCAAGGAGACTGGGACCGGTGCAGGAAGCGGTGTGAGCTCAGTACTGTCTCGAAAGAAGCAGCGGGAAGCACCTGAGTCAAGGGTGAAGGTGTGACAGGTCTCAGCCGGTGCAGTACCTGAGAGAGCAGTCTCTGTGGATGCTGTACCTGAGAGAGTAGACTCGCAAGCAGCAGGGACAGTGCTGGAGGGAGCAGGTACAGGGGGCACCATACCAGAGAGAGCAGACTCACTAGTACCTAGGGCAGCGGGCCCTATACCTGGGTCAGGCGGCACACACAAGTAACAGTCTCCCTCGGCACTAACAGTCAATGCATACATGGCAGCAATAATAGCATCATAGTCAAGAGCAAAGATATCAACACCAGCCCTCATCAGCTCAGCCCAGCGAGGGCGCTCAACATCCTCGCCCATCTCCTCACGCCAAGCGTCGTCAAGGCGGAAGAAGCAGCGGTACTGAGTGTGGAACTTTCCACACGTCTGCCCCTTGCGATCACCTGTGCGAATGACATAGGAACAGCGGCCACTGCCCCCCGACGTCCCACGCTGAGCAAGCCACTCACGAAGCTGCTGGGTCGACTGGGGACGCTGCTGCTGCTGGGAGCTCTGGCCCGAGCCGGTGCCTCCACTCCGACCTCCACCGCCGCCACTACCTCCGCTCCGACCGCCACCACCGCCACCGCCACCGCCACTACCGCCACCGCCGCCACTGCCGCCGCTGCCACCACCGCCACTGCTCCCGCCGCCGCCCCCGCCTCCGCCGCCGGCCCCACTCCCACCGGCACTCCCGCCACCGCTCCCTCCAGCACCGCCTCCCCCCCCACCTCCCCCACCCCCTCCCCCCCCAGCGCCACCCCCGCCACCCTTGCCCCCCTTGCCCTTGCCGGTGCGGCGCCTCCCACCAGGAGCAGAAGCAGCGCCAGCAGACTCAGCACCAAGGAAGTCAACAGCAGCAGCAGTAGCATAGGAGGGAGCGAGGGGAGAGGGAGAGCACCCCTCAAAGATGGGGGTGCGAGGAGCGCCGCGAGCAGCACCTACAGCTACAATGCTCTTCTCGGCTGCTAGCAGCTTCTCCTCTAGGAGGGCGACAGTGAGCTCAGTGGGACAGCGAGCAAGGAAATAGTCGCGCACTGAGCTGAGGGTGTCAGGGAGACGGGTGACTATGAAGTGGAGTGCCCAGTACAGGGGAGGGGGGTTCTTAGCGCAGAACTCGGTGGGAAGGGCGGCACGCAGGCGAGCATCACTAGTGCGAAGGTGGGTGATAAGATCGGCGACTGTAGCAAAGGTGGACAGGTCAGGGAACAGGTAAGGCAGCATGAGACGGCTAAGCTCGGCTGTGGCAGGTGAGGAGTAGCGAGCAACGACAGCGTCGTATAGGGCTTTAGCGGTTTTGCAGTCGCCAAAGTGCTCTAGCTCAGCTAACGGCAGGTGACTGCGAATAGCCAGGCGAGCTGCAGCGTCACGAGTCTGCCACTGTGAAGGAACACTAAGCTCGGCTGTGGCAGCAGGAGCAGCGGCAGCACCAGACGCGTAGTCATAGAGGGAGATGTGGTCCGTGCTATTGCTCATAAGATACAACTGCAGGTCGTCGAGCCAGGAAGTGAACTGCACGGGACGGCCCTCAGCATCGAAGGAAAGAACGCGAATAGAGGCCATAGCTCAGGCGTGAGGGCACAGCAGAGCAGCGGCAGCAGCAGAGGGGACGCGCTAGAGCGAAGCTAGCAGCCACAGCAGGAGCAAGCGGCGGTGCACAGGCAGGGAGCAGCAGGCGAGGCGGGCGGCGCTGCAGGCGGGAAGTGCGGCGGGCGGGCTGCGAAGCGGGCAGCGGGGCGGGCGGGCGACGCGGCGAGCGGGCAGCGAGGCGGGAGGGCGACGCTGCGAGCGGGCAGCGTGGCGGGCGGGCGACGCTGCGAGCGGGCAGCGAGCGAGCGGGCGACGCTGCGAAGCGGGCAGCGGGCGGGCGGGCGACGCTGCGAGCGGGCAGCAAGCGGGCGGGCGACGCTGCGAAGCGGGCAGCGGGCGAGCGGGCGGCGCTGCGAGCGGGCAGCGAAGCGGGCGGGCCGCGAAGCGGGCAGCGAGCGGGCGGGCGGGCTGCGAAGCGGGCAGCGGGGCGAGCGGGCTGCGAAGCGGGCAGCGGGGCGAGCGGGCGACGCTGCGAGCAGGCAGCGCGGCGGGCGGGCGGCGAGCGGGCGGCTCGGCGGGCGGGCGACGCTGCGAGGGGCGCGCGAGGGCGCTAACGAGGGGCGCTTCGAGGGCGCTAGCGAGGGCGCGCGAGGGCGCTAACGAGGGGCGCGCGAGGGCGCTAACGAGGGCGCGCGAGGGCGCTAACGAGGGCGCGCGAGGGCGCTAACGAGGACGCACGAGGGCGCTACGAGGCTAGGGCACGGGGTAGCGTGGTAACCGCATGCGAGCGGTGGTGGGCCCTTAAAAGAAACGGTCGATAGGTCCTAGGGACCTCCTGCTCTGATACCATGTCAACAGGACTAAGCAAGAATGTGTCATTGAATGGAAGAATTGGGTACAAGTAGCAAACCCTAGTTGGGGTTGTACCCCATACTGGCTACCCCACTACAGCCTACCAACATAACACAGTTTAACATCAACTATGGAGAAAGAACTCCAAGAACAGTGCAAAGGCGATGCGGGAACCACTTCCCAACCAGTGCAACCTGGACAACCGGCTGCGAAAAGCCGCGATACCGCCGCGCATGGCTTCTCCCTCGACTCAGACAAATCTGCAACAACTGCCCCCCGTCCAAGCGACGAGACAATCAACTCTGCGCAAGCACGCTTCCTTAGCGTGTCAAAAATCAAAACTACCTCCGCATTTGACGGCAAGGATTTTTATACATGGAGTTTTGAGCTGGAGCTCCTCCTACAAACAGCGCAGATCTATCACTACTTCGACGGCTCCTATCCTAAACCGGTGGAAAACACCGAAGACGCCCGGGCTCAATACTACAGTGAGTCACTTATGGCGTATAGCGTCCTGCTGCGCAACATGTCGCCTGCAGAACAGCTCGGCATCCGCTCCTACAAAGAGAGCGCCGCTCCAGCCCTAGAAGCCTGGAAGCACCTCGTTGAGGTATATCAGCCGAAGGATTCCGTCACTGCAAGTCGTCTCCTGCAACAACTCATGGAGACCAAGATGGGGCACGGGGAGAAAGCAAACAGCTACATCAACCGTTGTCGGAACATTCGTGATCAAATTATCAAGAACGGAAGTTCCATCACGGAGGAGATATTCGTCAACATCGTCCTCCAGGGACTTGGGCCCGAGTGGAAGCCCTGCAAGGCGCTACTCCGACAACGAGGACAGCTCTCTGAAGCCGCGCTATGCGCCGCACTGCTGACTGAACAGCAGGACATGGACTCGAGCAGAACGAGTTCCGCGCCACGCCGAGAGCGACTCGCCTTCTACACAGACAACCGAGAAGAGCGACGACAACCAAGGCGCCATTATTGCAAAAACTGCAAAGTCTTCGGACACTCAACGGATCGATGCAAGTCTCGATTCAACAATCGCCACCCAAATTCCACTCACCACAACAACTGGGTCGGCCGACAAGACACTCGTCATCCTCAGCCTCAACAATCAGCTCCTCGTCCCCCTGCTCAACAGCAACCACAACAAGTACAGGGAAGTCAGGTTGGAGCTCCCAGAAACGTGACGACAAACATGGTGACACGGCGCCGCCGCACCGCTAAACCAGACGAAGAAGACCAACTCCGAGGAGAACTAACCGAGCCGGAAGAAGGATGGAACAACCCCTTCACCGAAAACCACTATTACGGATACGACGAAGACGAACAAGATTGGAACCTGCCAATCACTTTGCGGGAAAGCCCGCCGCACGACAATCAACACTACGTACCTGTAGGATGGAAGGAGGACGAAGACCCATCTTTCCACAGGCGCTACAAGGCAACACTGGTGACTCCGTGACTCGCATTGCTTGCTACTGCGCAACAACAACACCGATAACCTCAATACCTGGTACCTGGACAGCTGCTGCGGACAGCACATGGTGGGATCGGTTCGATACGTCTCGAACCTCAGCCGCGCCCCCGCAACCTACGTCACCGTCGCCAACAACCATCAGCTGCGCGCCAACGCACAAGGCATCGTCGTCCTGCAATCTCGAGACAGCAACACACACATCTCTTTCAATGACGTGCTCTACGTTCCGGACCTTCGCTTCAATCTCCTCTCGGCAGGACAACTTCGCGACTGCGGTGTCATCCTCACCACGGATCTGGCCACGCGCGACCTCATCCTCACCTACGCTCCTCCCAACACACTGCCCGAGTCATTCAAATACCTCGGACGAGCTCGGTCAATCAACGGGATCTACGTTCTGGACTTTGACATACCAAACTGCCAAGCTTCATCCGACGAACTCGTGGATCTTGTCCCTCTCGACTTCGCCTTCATGAACGAAGAATCATGGCAGCATCCGGACGGACGGCCATGGATCCGGCGAAGTCCACATCCCCGCGAAATCAATCTGCACGAGCCCGACATCACCGGCCTCTGCACCACCTGCCACACGCCCACGGCGAGCTGCATGGAGCAAGTCGAAAGAGAGTACGCGGCGATCCAGGAGGCAGAAAGCGCTGAGGAGGAACCAACTGGAATGACAGAAGAAGAACTAGCCGTCGCAACTTACCGCATCTTCGGAGAAGAAAACAAGCAGTTCGGTCAACAACCGGTGCCACGCCCAACGCCGCGCTCCGACACCCTCCGCTTCATGCTCGAAGCCAACACCAGCACCTTCGATGAAGAAAATCGACCGCGCCCGTACACTCGCGAAGTTTATCGCCGCGAAATTGACCCGGCCTGGAAAGACCCTGACGCAGAAGGAGAACTCAGCATCAAGGAAGAACGGGAGAAGGCCAGGGCAGAGAAGAAACAGAAGCTGTACGAGGAACGCGTTGCGGCAGGATGCACGACGAGGGACATGGGGAGATGAAGATTATGAACCAGAACAAGGTGCCACTTGGGGATCCGCCACTGGCGCCTGGGGCACTGCAGCCAGCGGTATGATTACCACAGGCGGATGGGGCACGGCAGCACCAGAAGAGGCAGAACTGACACAAGAAGAACTGGAGAAAGCAGAACGCGAGATGCGAGCTGAGCGCGGAGAAGAATCTCCCCGCGTCACCATACCCCTCGGGCGACCACCACCCGCACACTCGCCTCCACGTTCACCCCACCGATGGGAAAGCACCTGGACAGAGCTTGAGGAGGGGAACATACCTCCAACACCAGCACGAGACTCTCTCGGTCCAATCTCTCGTCCAGATCCATTTGCGCACCGCATCGAAGGCACGAAGACGCCGCTGAATACCATCCCCGACCGCGAATTTTGTCAGAATATTATGCTCTAGTCTGCAGTGGGGTGCTCTATAGCGAGTACAACCCTTCTAGGGTTAGCTATTTGTACCACCATTGTTGCTAGTGCAAACCCTCCTTTGCTTCATTCTCTCTTGCCTAGCTAGGTCAACCCTAGCTATGGCTCCTAAGCATACCCATTATCTCGACATGCTATCAGAGCAGGACGATCCTGTTGGGTCGATCCTGTGGGTGGGCCCCACCACCTTAGTCTTCCGCTGCTCCTACTACTCTGTGTGTCGCACGCCCCGTGGCGTGCGACGGATTTTTCATCCCGCCGCGCGCTCGGGGCGTGCGGCGGTTTTCTCCCCGCCGTGCGCCCCGAGGCGCGCGGCGGTTTCCTACCGTGGGGGACCCCGCGCGCCCCCGCCCCTTTCGTTGCGACGTCCTAAGGAGCCGCGCGCGACCCCCCGCGGCCCCGATTTCCCGTCGCGCCGCCCTGGGGAGCCGCGTGCGACCCCCCGCAGCCCCGTCGACGGCCGCGACGCCCTAGGGAGCCGCGCGCGGCCCCCGATTTCCCGTCGCGCCGCCCTGGGGAGCCGCGCGCGGCCCCTCGCTGCCCCGTGGTGGCGTCCTGGGGGCCGCGCGCCGTCCCCCTCGCCGTCCCCCGCGCTCCTTCCCCCGTTCCGCCCGTTTTAGGGTTTGGGGGTGAGGAGTGTGGGGGTGGCGACTATGGGGGTGTCGGTTGTGAGTTCCTCCCCCTGCTCCTCCTCCTCCCTAGTCTCCCTCTGCTACAGCTGCCGCTGAGGGGGGTGGTGTGTGGGAGCCTAGGGTTTGGGGTTTAAGGGGGGTACCGTGGGAGTGGAGCTAGCTAGGGTTTGAAGCAGAGGGTGTGTGTCGAGGGGTGTGGGACTGGCAGGGGGAGGTTGAGCGGAGGTTGCCGTCGTGTTGTACGCAGCGCCTGTACTCCGGGGCACTCATTCCCGGTAGCTCAGAGAGCCGGTTGCGCCGTCGCCTGTGGGTCCGTTGCTCCTGCCGTGCATATTAGCCGCGGAGCCTGTTACTCCTGTACTCCGGGGCACTCATTCCCGGTAGCCACGTTGTCGCACCAGAGCCGTCTGTTGCCCGTGTGTCTGCAGCTTCAGTCGTCGCCTCCTATCTACACTCCTCTCGCCAGCCCTCCTCCTCCTCACTTGCCCCCTGTGACTGCCTCTAGCTTTGCTCATAATTGTGAACCTTAAACTATTGCTTCTTGCTTGTGCTCAGAATGTGTGGTGACATCGTGATCCACCCTGAGCTTGTACTGCTTTGCTTGCTCTGCTGATTACACCCCACTTTGACTATGGGGGTGTGTCAGAATATTATGCTCTAGTCTGCAGTGGGGTGCTCTATAGCGAGTACAACCCTTCTAGGGTTAGCTATTTGTACCACCATTGTTGCTAGTGCAAACCCTCCTTTGCTTCATTCTCTCTTGCCTAGCTAGGTCAACCCTAGCTATGGCTCCTAAGCATACCCATTATCTCGACAAATTTCTCACCCTCTATCTCACAACGGCACCTGCAGAAGGGGAGACAACGGCATAAAGAAGAAGAAGAAGAAGAAGAAGAAGAAGAAGAAGAAGAAGAAGAAGAAGAAGAAGAAGAAGAAGAAGAAGAAGAAGAAGAAGAAGAAGAAGAAGAAGAAGAAGAAGAAGAAGAAGAAGAAGAAGAAGAAGAAGAAGAAGAAGAAGAAGAAGAAGAAGAAGAAGAAGGAGAAGAAGAAGAAGAAGAAGAAGAAGAAGAAGAAAGAAGAAGAAGAAGAAGAAGAAGAGGGGCCCGAAGCAGAACCAGGGGAGGAAGAAGAACCACCACTACAGATTTCGCAACTTACGGAAGCAGAAGAAGCGGAGCAGCACGCCCGTTACAAGCGCACCTCCAGCATACGTGCCGAAGATAACCTCTGGCATCAGCGGCTGGGCCACCCCTCACGCCAGACACTCGCCAACTGCCTCCGCACGAAAGTTTTTCCGCCTGGCGTATTGCTGCGTCCTGACGGACTGGAACTACAGAGTACCACGCCACACCCGACCACCTGCACTGTCTGCCCCACAGCTGCACTCTCCCACACCGCCTACCCCTCTCTAGAGCCGAGCACTAACCGCTACAAAAAACTGGAAAAGGTGTACAGTGACTTCATCGTACTCACCTGCGACGGACTCAACGGCGAAAAATACACGCTGACCTTCATCGACGCCTACTCGCGCTATGTGTGGATCGCCAACGTCGATGCTCGCTCAAAAGCTCCGGACGTGTTCCGCATCTTCCTCGCGCACGCGCAACGACAGTCAGGGAGGAAACTGAAGATTTGGCAGAGTGATGGGGCAAAAGAATTTCGCAGCCACGAGCTGGAGAGTGTCCTCACTGAGAAGGGGATCAAGCATGAGATTTCTCTCCCCTACGCTCATCAGCAGCAAGGCGTCGCTGAGAGGGTCAATCGCACCCTCATGACCAAAGTCCGCGCCATCATGAACCAGTCTGGCCTGCCCAAGAAGTTTTGGCCTTACGCCATGAACCACGCGGTGCGCCTGCACAACCTCCTCTCCACCATCGCCAACAGGGATAACCTATCCCCTCACATGAAGTGGACCGGCTCAAGGGGAGACCCCTCCATGCTGCGGGTTTGGGGGTGTATGGTGCAATATCGGCCGACCTCGGCCACAATTGGCAAGTTCGTTCATCGTGCGCGCTGGGGAATTCATCTGGGGCTCAGTCACGAGCACAAAGGTTGGCTCATCCTTGACATTGACAGTAACAAGATCGTTCCCGCGCGCGACATTCTCTTCTACGAACGACTTACCCTGAAGCAGTGGATCGAGGACGAACGCCGAAACCAGGCACGCGGCTATGTCCACAGCGGCCGCAGCTTTGCGACTCCGGAAGATGAAGCAGCAGCAGCAGTTCTGGACCGTGCCGATACCCACGAATATCCCAGCGTCCCGCCTCGCCCGCGCGACGACGACGACGATGACAGTGACGACGACCCCGCGCCAGGACCATCACGGCGCCAAGCAGCGCCACGTGCCGCACCACCCGGCTACGAAAGCGGAGACGACGATGTGGTGGAAGTTCCCACCACCACAGGCACCACCACCGTGTCAGGCCTCCAGCTTCTCGGCCTGCACGCATCCGTCTCTACCCTTGCCCGGGCTGCAAAACCCAAGAACCCTCGCCAGGCCCTAACCGGCCCCCACGCCAAGGAGTGGCGTGCTGCGATGGATGCGGAGCTAAAGGCGCTGGAATCCCGTGACACCTGGGTTCTGGTCGATCGTGCAGCAGTGAAGGGGAGAAGGGTACTGAGCGGCAAGTAGGTTTTTCGCCTAAAAACTAACGCTGACGGCACTATCGAGCGTTTTAAAGCCCAATGGGTCGTACGAGGATACGACCAGCGCCACGGCATTGACTTCGATCAAACCTTTGCTCCCGTCAGCCGTCACACCTCAGTCCGAATTCTACTCGCCATTGCCGCCGCTAAGCATCTGCCACTGCGACAGATTGACATGAAGAACGCGTTTTTATACGCGTTGGTGGACGCTACCATCTTTGTGGAACAGCCACACACCTACGGAGAAGGTGATCCCAGGGTCTGTCAACTGAAGAAGTCCCTCTATGGGATCAAGCAAGCGCCTCGTCTCTGGCAGCAGCATCTGCATAAGATCCTGATCGAGATCGGTTTCAGACAGCTGCCGCACGACCCGGGAATGTACCGCCTTCACTTCAACGGCGACTACATCCTCCTCACCGTCTATGTCGACGACCTGCTGTACACTGGCACCTGCAACCTGCTCCTTAATCAGTTCGAAGAAAATCTGGCAAAGCGCGTGGACATCACCATCAACCACAAAGTCACTCAGTTTTTGGGCCTGAACATCACCTACGCGCCAGAAGCAATTCACCTGTCAGCTTCAAAATATGTAGAGCAGCTGGGGGAGCACTTCAACATCCCACGCGCACCACTCTCAACCCCCTACCGCAACCCCGGCACCAACTACAAACCGGACAACAAGCCTCTGTCCCCTGCCGGACTCCAACTGTACCAGCAGCAACTGGGTTGCCTGCTGTTCGCATCTGTCACATGCCGACCCGACCTCTCGTACATCGCCAGCCAACTGGCACAGTACTCACGCAAGCCAATAGTTGAGAACCAGCTGGACTTGGAGCGCGCCCTGCAGTACTTCATTTCCACACCTGACATCGGGCTCTCCTACTCCACGCTGTCAACGACATCCTTCAACCTCAACGGCTATGTGGATGCCGACCACGCCGCTGACCCAGCGAATCGACGGTCCCGAACCGGCTTTGTCTTCCGCTTGGAGCCAACTGGCCCCATCTCCTGGAATTCGCAGAAGCAGGAACTGGTTGCCCTGTCATCGGCCGAAGCTGAATACATCGCCGCGACAGCAGCAGTTCGCGAAGGTCTGTACCTGCAGGAGCTGCTACAGGAAGCGAAAATCCCAACTTCGCCCACCTTTCGCCTACACTGCGACAACCAGAGCGCGATCAAGATCGCGAACAAGCCTGGGTTCGTGAACCGCACAAAGCACATCGCACTGCGGTACTTCTTCGTCAAAGACGAAATCGACCAAGGCAAGGTTGACCTCGCATACTGCCCGACCACTGAAATGGCAGCCGACTTCCTTACCAAGCGGCTGCCACGTCAGCAGTTCAAACACTGCTCTGATCTCACTGGAGTGGTCAAGCAAGTCAGCACCCCTCGCATTCAGGAATGAAGGGGAGTGTTACGATACGAAGTTCAATGAGAAGGCATTCCTGTACGCTGCAGGAGCCGACTCTACCGAGTACGAAGACGAGGAGTCAGAAGAATCGAAGCGACACAGCAACCGCCTGATCAAGACCGATGCAGGCAGAGACATTTGAAATGAAAAGAGCGGGAACAGGTTTGAAACTGACTCCCGCGCCGCACGGTTTGAATTTCGCTGCAATAAGGGAATGTACCCCTTAGAGTACATGGCTAGTCTAGGTCGTTTCGCATTCCTTTGTATTTCTATATAAACCCTATGTATGCATGCTATTATCATCTCAGTCATTTTACATTCACTCTGACCTGAGTTCACTACTTCCGCTGCAACACTACCTGCGATCAACCCTGAACGATCCTTGTTTCGTTAAGTCCCACTTCAGATTGTGACACACACCACTAGAGCAGAAAATCTCTGGAGCAATGATAACGACCACCATGGATTGTGCTGGTTTTGCACGGGTAATAAACCCGAGGGTCTTATCCTACCCTGGAAAAAAAAAAGGGGGGTCGGTCTAATAACTGGCTGTAAATCCAATAGACCAGGGGTCTAATCATACGTTAATTTTTTTTTATGACATTTCAATTTCAGTGTTTCTGCGTCATTTCGATGTTGCGTGAGCGAGAAGTTGACGCACGCTGACACGAGGGAGGCACAGGGTCAATTTGCCCCTGTCAGAGCAATTCTTTCGCTATGCTAACTTTTGTCTCGCTACAGTTCCACCCGAAATTGTACAGTCTACCGTCAAGTGGGTCTATTCTAATATGCAATTGAAAATGGGGGGTATATTACGAAATTGCACGTAACATTAGACCCCCCCCCCCCCCCCCCCAAATTAACGACCCGGGGGTTTATAATTGTGTCGTGTCCATTACCCGAGTAATACGGTATCAAGCGACTTCAACATAACATACTAAAGCACACGTATCAGTTGGCTTTGTGACCACAGTATTCTATTCGCGTAATCGCGATGAAGTGATTGGTACAACTTTCATGTCATCAAGCGGGCATCGTTCCAGTCTATTATCGGAATCTCCTATTACATCAGTTATCCTTTTTCATGGCTTCATAAATTACAACCTGATGTTTATCAACGATATGATCTGCAACATTATAGGCAAGCTCTTGATTGGTCCCTAATATTACATGTCACTACCAAGGCGGCATCACCGCCTGTTTCCTCTACTGCAACACAATACCAGCATCAAGAACGCTGGGCCTCTGGCTGGGCTATACGACCATTTAAAGCTTTTGTATACATGGTCCACGTTATCAGGGCAAAACATCCTGATTACCTTGAATTCAAGATGCAGTTTTGAATTAACCCAATCATTTCAGAATAGTATCAATTTTAACCCTGATGTATCAGGATGTTTTATGTGAAATGACCTGAACATTCAGGATGGCCGTAGTGTTCTTCCCTGTAGCCTCAGGATGAATGTCAAGTCCTGCCCTGACGCGTTTTTTGAGTGGGGATGGGAGGGCCTTTGTTCCCCTTTCGGGGGGGAGTTTTTCCCCCAGGGATTTTTGTCCCCGTTGAAAATTTTCCCCGTGTATGTTTCCCGCCTTCGTACGATCTCTTCTCTTTGACAGTTCTGTTCCGATCCCCCGCAACGCGTCAGCCAAGCCAAACCTATTAGACTGGGAACAGGTTGGGCAAGGTAACACGTCCACAAGGGCCTACACCAAGAGAAATATTAAACTACAAATTGTAATGTAACGATTCTCAATATCTTGAAGGTTACCCTTTTCGCGGGCTTCGAGATCACTTGAAACTTGAAACCAGTACTCTGGTTCTTCACCATAAACTCATTCTTGAGTTCTTGAAAGGTGTGCTGCACACACCTACGACACGCCGAACGTTCAACACACGACAAAATAGAAACCACACACGAGACACAAACAACCGCAAGACACGCGACTAGCGATAACTCGCTATTGACTCGACACACACATTCGACATCATGACTCATCATTCACACACTATTATAAGCATGAAATATATATTGTCTTGTGCCCTCATACCATTCCATGCACACACGCATGCACGCACATGGACAACAAGCCGAGTGCAAACCGTAGGGTTGCACCAAAAAACTCCCCCCTTGGATTGTTGGCCTTAGGATCTTGCTCATTTAGAGCCATCCCAGCCAGCTTGCAACACTTCCAATGCTGCTGCTCCACCAGCCTCTTGGTTATCATGTCAGCTGTCTGCCCCATCGTCTTCACGTAGCACAACTCAACTTCACCCGCTGCCACCATGCTCCTCGTCCAGTGTCATTTCCCCCTTATGTGCTTAGTGAGGCCGTGCAACACGAGGTTCTTAGCCAAGCGTGATCGC